AGTGCATGTATATAGTATAGCAATTGACTATCATTGAAAGTAATCAAAATTATTAGTTAAAAAAGTTTTTAATAGTTTGAAAATTTGATTTCCAGGAACAGCTGTAATAAAACTGAAATGAGTTTTTTCTATGATTTTTCATGCTTTTTTTTTTTTTTTTCCACATCCAGTCACCACAGTACAATGCTAGACTTAACTATTTCTCTAAATTTTCATGTATTTTTTCTGATGACTATCAAGATACTATCCACTGAATTTATGAATGCAAATAACCCAAAACAGCAACAACAGCCCTTCTATTGTGATTTATTTACCTTCAAGCTGTTGCATGTGGTGATTGAAGGTCTCTTTTCATTTGATTAATTCATGCAAACCAAAACTTAGATTTTCTTGAGGTTTTTATTTACTTTTTATTTTCATAACATCTGCTTTCTAGCCCACATACCAATACATACAGCTCTTGAATCCTCTTATGACAAAGATTTCTTCAGTTGCCATAAAATTAGGCTTAACTAGATGGGCCACTGTTCATCTCTGTATGCTGCCAACATTTGCTCTGTTCACTTGGTTGGCAAAGTATATAGGCACTTAATTTTCTAGCAGTAATTTGATTTTTTTTTTTTTTTTTTAGCAGTTCTAAGATTTTTATATCCCTGAAGATTCTCATGGTGCCTGTTGTAAAAATATAGTTTTAATATTTTTATGCTTTTTTTTTTGCATCTGAATAAAACTAGTTTTGACTGATATCATTTTTAGTGAATTTTTCCATTTAAATTTTCTCAGTTCTTTTAAAGAGTAATTTTCTTACAGCATTTTCACACATTGATGATAAATTTAATTTCCATACCAATAAATAAATAAGAGAAAATTTAAATGCTATCCTTTCAAGTAATATTGAGAAATGTGCAAATATATTTGGCAATATTTTTTTTCAATCCAGATAAGTTATGTACTTTCTAGCAATACTTTGACCAGTTCTATTAATTCAAGCATTGTGAATACCATTGCAATAGAAGCTAATTTAAATCTACTGCAGAGAAAGTTATAATTCCTATTTGCTTATCTACTTATAAATGAACTTAAATGTGTCCAGGTTTCTTCACTCCTCCCTTTATCTTCTGTGTGTAATAAGTTTTAAGGCATGTCTTTTGTGACCAAGCCATGTATAGAATGTCTTCAGTTCTTTTCCTGAAAAGAAATATGCTTTTAATAATAGTAAACTGATAAATAATTTAGCACTTGTGCTTCTTGACATGACTACTAGTCTCAAGTCTATTATTATGATAGCCTTAGGTTGAGTTTCATCTTGATCATTACTTAAGTAGCAACAAAGAATAAGTACACATATTTCCTGTAACTTTCTTTTCTTATAAAAAACAAAACATTATTGCTGTTCACTGACAAGACATTGTAACTTTCTAATTCTTTTATAAAGAATGTTGTAGCCCATTTTTTTCCTTGCTTCTGGAAGAGGAAGGTGAAAACGGGTTATCATAAACTGACCTAATGGGATTTTATGGTTGACAGTTAAGCTGTTTTACTTATTCCTTTTACTAGTATCGACTACTTCATGTTGAATGCTATTTAGTGCAATTTGACCCTTAATTCTATTCAAAATGTAATCGTTGTATTCTACTGAAATGCAACCAAGCTGACAGAGAAACTGAAATTTTTGAAGGTATTTTGCTGGTTATCTTAAACTTTTCCTCTTGGTTTCTTTAATCTGCATTAATAACACTCTACTAAGTTTGTGAGACTCTCAATGAAATGAAGAGAAAAAAATTGTACTAGCTCACAGCTTCTACTGACTGCAACCTATTATTAGATGCTCTAAACGTGTGAATGAAAATGTGAACTAGATAATTTCCATTTGCATATTTTTCCCACCTTTCTAACTTGTAAATTTTTTTTGTATCGAATGTTTAAGTGAAGTGTACAGATTCTCCATTGTCATTCTTCTCATTCACAATGAGTATTTTATTCTTCTGAATTTCAGATTCTTGAACTTGATAGAAAAATATTTTGATTTCCAATAGATATCACTGTGCAAAACATATTTATAGCAGCTCTCTTCAAGCTTTTCATTAAAAGTACAACTTGTATAAATCAAAGATACCATAAACTATAAAATATCCTGAAATGAATACTTTTTAGAGAATAATAAGAAAAAATCCTGGAATTTTGAGTTGTCTCTTAAAAATCTTATCCATGTTCAATAACTTCTTAGATTTACTTTGTAAATCCTCAATGCATCTATCTGTTTTGCAATCTTTTCCACCTTAACAATTACTCTCTTTCTTTAAAACGCAAGTCAACAATGATCTTGCTATTGGTAATTGCTACATTGCAATTTGTTACATTGATATTGTCATCTACTAATGGTTCTTACAGACTGATTGCTTTTTTTATTTTTTTTGACAGATAATTTTTTTATTTTTTTTTCCTCATAGATATAAACTCGAAGTGATTTTCTTCTCTTTTATATATTTAAATCTACACATGGCTTATAAATTGGTTAATAGATTTTTCATTATTATGGTAATTTGTTTTTCTCTTTTGAGAAGGTGGCTGTTACCTATAAACTTGTGTTACTTTTGTGTATTTTTAAGTTAACATTCCAAGAATCTGTTCATACATTCTAGTTGCAACTAAGATCATTTTTTTTGAATTTGGAGACAAATTATTTTAATCTTAAATTGTTTTATTAAGTGCAATATACAAACAAATTTACGCATATTATGTATATCATAAATGCACTTATATACAAGGATGTATGATAAATTTTGATGTAAAATTTTCACTGTATAATGATATCACTACTGAATTAAGTGCGTTGACAAGGTATAGGATTATGTTTGTTTCTTTTTTGTTAGACTTAATTATCATTACCTGAGTTGTGGTTACATGAGCATAATGTCTATACTTTTGTGTGAATTGCTGATATCAAATTATGTATCTCCCTTTTTCTGACTGACAGTTGTTTTCTAGCTCTCACTTGGTTAAGCATGTATGTCTCTAGCGTATTTGTTGGATTTCATGTTTTCTAAGTTTGGAAAAAAAAAGGTTTGTTTTTGAAATGATGAAACTCTACTTGGTTGGACAAGTATAGTTTCTGTCAGAACAAGTCCCTACTTGATAGGGGACAGTGTAGAGAAAAAGCCTCCACCTTGTGTGAACTGACCCTTCCCTTCCTGCAATGCCAGAAGTTCCCTTTCATTTGTTACCCTCCACAAACCCCCTTATCCTTATACAAAGGGTACAAGTATATTATATCTCTTGTTTACCTACTTATAATAACAGTGGAGTCTATTTTGCAATTTGTTATTGGCTTTAATGACTGTGTTCGTGTGTCATAAATATTTAAACTGGTGTCTGATCATTATAGCTTTTAAATTAGCAAAATACTAAAATGCTGTTTGATTTCAAATTTTGATTATGATTTTTTTGCTTGCATTTAAGTACTTCCTGTTCAAATTTTTTTCAGCACTGCTTCATTATTTAACAAGAATCAAATTACCTTTCTTAATTTATTTTCTTGATTTTTCTTTTGATCTTATTGCTAATTAGCTGTCTTTGGTCAAGTTATTGTCTAATCAATTTACAGACTGTTTTACTAAATTTATTTTGAATCCTGAAAGTTACAAGATAGATACTATTATTGATGGACATCTTTGGTTATATAGCCTTAAATGTCATGTCTACATGTGTTAAAAAGATGTTGGTACATAATCAATTAACAACCTAGTGAAAGTTGCTTTTCCTCTTAACAAATGTTTTAAACTCATAAAAATAAGCAAAGGTATTTGGATAATTTTTTTTTTTTAAGTAGTGAATATATTCAGTTTGACTTTGAGAGCCTTATGACAACACTTCCATGCTTTAATTGTATAATATAAGCATATAAAGAAAATTTTATTACACATTAAAACATTAGCAGTGTCACACCATTAATGTACTACAATATTTTTGAATTTTTTAATACAAATAAGTAATTTGCAATTATTTATAAAAGTTTAATGTTACATGTGTTAATATCTAGTATTAAGCATTTAGAAATTGTTGCTTTTGGTTTTTTTACACTGGCAGTGATTGAAGGCAGTTTGTAGATGGTGAGGAAGCACAGTGGAATAATGGATAGTGGCTTGGATTGAGGAATCAGAGAACCAAGTTCAAATTCCTGTTGAATCCATTGCATTCACTTATGTGTTAATACCCTTGGGAAAGCTCTTCTCTCCCAGCTATGGGTAAATAGCAGACCAGATTCTATAGCCTTGGATTGCAACTGGTCTACTTCAGAAAGAAATGGCAACCTACTGTGGAGAAAAAAGATTTGCCATGTCAGTCATGTATTGAAAGATACATGATTGCCTAAGCATGTATCATGCATGGCACATAACTGACTGAAGTTCATGATTATCCTGGAGCAGTTGACTGATGAGAAATTTGACTGATAACATATATTAAAAAAAATAAACAATCTTTGTCCTAAATGGTTAAAGTGATAAGAACAAACCTCTTATTGATTTGGCTTAAGAATATTTACTTGGCTTATATGGATCAAATGATGTTTGGGTTAATATTAATATGCAAAAATGATATTATGAAATTCTTGTTTGCAAATACAATTCCATCAACAGGCAGTAATAAAGATCTTGAAACCTAATTCCGTAAAAATTCAAATTTGTTGATTAATGAAAAAATATAATATAAGCAATATCAACATGTCTATCAGTTATTGTTCTGATTTGGTATTGGGGGGGGGAGGTAAGAGGTTGAGTTGAGTGTTACAAGTTTGTACATGTGTTTTTACTTGGCAGTGTTTTGTTTCTCTTATCCTATTTCCAAATTATGGTTATAAAGCTATCCTTAATTGCTTGTTTTTTTTTTTTTCCCCCTAACCCTTCATTCTTGGTATCTACAAACCAACATGGACTTTGTGTATGCTACATATGCTTTTGCAGCATATCTCTTTTTTTCTAACATATTTTCTTTCTTCACAGATATTATGATCAGCTTGTTACCATTGAGAATAAATTGCCAGTGTCAGAAAATCAGGTGTGTTCATTTTCATAATATCTGTATAAATGTATGTATAAACTTAACTAATGTATTTGTGTTAGACGTTTTTTTTTCTTTTTCTCTTGTATTTTTTGAGAAATGTTGCAGCTGGATCATTCTAGAGAAAAACGACTGGATTTTAGATCAAAATATTTTTGCTCAATACAAAAATACGTCCTTTTAAACACCAGAAACTTTTTGTTTATATATAGCATCTGATCTTAATAGGATCTATATTTTTACTCAAGAATTCTACCAAAAGTGAAATAATTTTCTTATATAAAAAAACTGAGACCTAATTTTCCTCTTTTTACATTATAAAATTTATCTTGATAATCTTGTCAAATACTTTAATCTGTAACTTGGACTTTTTTTTTCTGTCTATTTCTACTTCAAATGAGGGTAATCTTTTTTCATTTACAAATCCTTTATACCTGCTTCTTTTTGTATAAAACCTTTAGGGATTACACAATTTTGTAATGGAAAACTTAAAATACATCCTAAAGGATAAATACTAACTTTTCTGAAAGCATAATTAACTTTCGTAATTGATACCTGGATTTAGTTTCCATTCTCCATTGTTATGACCTTGTAAAATCTCAGGAAATATATACTCTTTTTGGAGAGGAAGCTGCTAAGGTTCTTTTTATTTGAATGTTCAAATAGTTTTTTTTTTTTTTTTTAAATATGCTCTGAAAATAAAGAATTTCTTTTTAAATTTTGATGTTTTATTATTTTGAAGAACTAATAAATATGTATCAACTTTTTAATCATTTTTATTCATGCATTTAATAAACTACCAAATGCCAAATTAGTCACTGGGAAGACTTAAGTTGTTTTAGACTTGCCAAATTTTTATTTAGTTATTTATCTTCTATTTTATTTATATATATATATATATATATATATATATATATATATATATATAAACAAACTCCTATCTTCAAAAATGTTTAAATAGTAAATATCTGAAAAGATGTAAGGATTGCTCAATTCTTTTGGAATTTGTTAAAAAAAAAAAATCTATCTAAGGCTTTTAACAAAAGCTCAGTGTCAATAAATACAATTGGCCGAGCAACTTGTAACCAGCCCTCACCCTGATTGCTAGTGTCTGTTTCTGGTACCCAAAATATTTGCATTTCTTTGCTTACATTTGCCGCCTTTAGAAAGCTCTTTGTGCTCCATCTTCAAGGACTCTTTGGCCTATTTAATGCAGAAAGAAATTATTGAAATGTAATCTTTTATTGCTATATCCAACTTTAAAAAGCAGTTAAAGTGGAGTGGTGAATAAAAAAAATAATATCAGTTCTAATGATATAGTTTGGAATAGGCTTTTTTATATATATATATATATATATATATATATATATATATATATATATATATATATTTCTTATTAGATGCATATTGACAATTTTCAAACTTTTTAAACTTTTTATTTTTAATTTTTGGTACCAAAAATGTCTGGTGCTACCAGAACACATGTAGGGTGGGATTCTAGTTGCTGAGTGGCTGAGAAGTGGCAGCAACAGCCTCAAGAGGATCATATGTTCTTTCCAGTTTCTTAACATGCCCCTGCTCTCAAAGTCTGTCCTCTTTCCTTCCTCACTTCTTTCTCTTTGGTGTCTGCTGAAGATTGAATTTGCTCCAGCTTTTCAGTTAACCTAGATATTAAGGAAGAAAAGAAAAACCTGGCTCCAACTGATTTAAAGTTATCAAAATATTTACATCCTTGACTATATTAATGAGAGAAGGCACACTCAATGCAATGCCTTGTACTATATGTTGTCAATGCTTTTATTTAGGAAAAAGATAACTTGTCATTATACAAAATCTATGGTACTATTCCTGAAATCTTTGTTCTAAGTTTTCTAGATTTCTTTATTTTTGTTTGTTTTTAAATGTTAGCTAATGCTTGGTTATGTTCTTTGTTTTTAAATAATTTTAATCCCTGGAAATTTTGAATTAGCTACATCAGTATCATTTTGAAAATATTAATACTACTCAAGGAGCTTTTGATCAAAATCTTTTAATAAAAATTCTTAAAATTGCACCATTTTAATTTTAAACATTTTCAGGATAAAATTCAGTATTTTATTTTTTGTATTAAATTTTCTTTTCTGGCAAATTTCAAATTCTTACAATTCCTGATGTACATTTGTCAAAAAATTATTTTGGGCTTTTCCTTTATATCTTAGAATAAGTTTTTCAAAACAATGAATTAAATTTATTGTAGGTTTTTACTGTTGAATATTGATTTGAATGGATTTCACTGTCTTGTTTAGGGAGCTAACACTCAAGATTCATATGACATGATGTTCAAGGCATTTGTCTCCACTTACATTTTACATGTTAATAATTCTTTGAAGTTTTTCTTGTCTTCTACTTGAACAAATATTAATCTCTTCTTGCTTTCAAAGTAAATCAACTCCTGTACACTTGTCTTATATATAAATATAAGATAAGTGTACAGGAGTTGAATATGTCAGTTTTAATTTTTGAAGAACTGTCACAATCCTTTTGAAAATGCAGAGAAAAATATGCTACATGATTTGAACTTATTCAGACAGTTTCATTAATATTCACTGAGCACTGACTTTAACTTTTCTATTTTCTTTAGATCAGAGTTCAGTTTAAATGGAGAGATGCATTTGACAAAGAATCTTTATTCTCTGGCCGAAGAACCCTTGGTAAATATCTTCTTACATTTTTACCAGTGCAATTTCTAGAAAACCTCTTCAAATTTCTTCTTTTCAATATGATACCTGAATATATCTGATATAATTGAATAAAAGGGTTTTTTTTTTTTTTTTTATAACTTTGAATGGGTTGTTAAAAAAACTTTTAAAATTTATCATTAACTTTGTTTTTGAAAAACATCAAGGTAACTAAATAACTCTTAGGTTGATGTAATTCAGCAGTTTTCCCTATAATACCACCTCAACACTCCAAGCAATTTCAAGATTTCTATTACAATTATTTTGTAATGTTATATTTCATTACTTATATTTTTTTTTTCCCTTTCAGCTATTGCATCAGGCTTGTATGAGAAGGTGTGCATACTGTTCAATATTGCTGCCTTGCAAAGTCAAATTGCAGCCACACAAAACCACGACAGTGATGAAGGACTTAAAGTATCAGTCAGGCTATTCCAGGTAAGTACTTAGAGATCAATGTTGCTTGATTCATTGTGGAACTAGAACCTGCATATTCTTACAGTGTAACATTCACTCAGTATATATATACCCTCATTTTTATTTTTTTCCTTAAACAGAAATCAAGATGTTATTTCTGACACTGTTTTCATTCTTTATTTAAAGCTTTTACTTGTTTTTATTGATTAACTCCTGTTGAATTTGTTCAGCTGTGCTGTTTTTTCTTTATGCCCACTGGGTCAAATGAATAGAAAGAAAAAAAAAATCCTGAGCCCAAAATGATTATCAGCCATTTATTTTGATAATTGTAAAATGCATCTGTTAAAACTGAACAATTTCCTTATTGGCCCAAATAGGATAATACATTACCAGGTGTTATAGGATGTATATGAGTTGTAGAAAATTTGCAAACAAACAAATACTTGCCAGTTTTAATATTGACACATTGGACTGACAGAAGCCTGTTAGGAAACTAAGTAGGACATTTCATCTTGTCCAATTCAAGCACTAAGACAAAAATGTCTGCACCAAAAGCAGTGTTTCTCAACCTTTATTACTTCAAGACCTACTTGTAGAATAACTAAAACGCTAGGGCACATTTTAAATTTTAATAAGGAGAAAATAGTCATGAAATTTAAAAATATAAAATTTTGGTTTAGCATTCACAAAAGATTAGTGGTACAGTTTACATTTTAAGGGATTTATGAAGAATCTATTTTTACTTGGGACAATAATGATTGATTTAAATCCATTCAGGAAAGCATAAGGGAAAGGTTTATCCACTCCTTAAAAATTAAGGAATTTAGTATCCAGTTTAAAATATCAAATGACAAAAACTTGAATTAGACATGAAAGTCATGTACTTTGTGTCTCTAACTTTATAAAAATAATTAATAAATTGCTCTTCTGTTAGCTTAGGGCACAAATGGTTACCTTTCAAGGTACATTAGTGTGTCTGGGGACACAGGTTGAGAAACGCTGGCCTAAAGTCTTGTACAAGCCATATTTATAATGGGAAGAAATAGGCTTTCAGAATTGCTTACTTATAGTTTTAAGTCTTTATTTGGCCAATGAAACATGTATTTGCTGAATAAAGTGAAATTGTTATCTAATATAAATTATGACTTAAGAATATTTATATATTGATCAAATTTTTGCTATTCCAGTAACAGAAAATACATTTTAGTAGAAAGTTATAAGTTATGATTGGAGGGGAAGTAAATGAAAGCCACAGATGTTATCACTTGTTAAATAATAGCAGATTATGAGAATTTAGGCAAAATAATTTATCCTTTCTCTTATGTTGTAACTGAGTTATCAAAAACAACAGTATAAAACCAGAATTGGTTAACAAGTTTACCTTTTTGGTACATGTAGAATAGAAGCTAGGGAAGAGAATGTTTAGACATGAATGACTGTTTTCAGCAAAAGCTACTGCTACTTCTCTTGATATAGGAGTATTTTTATATCTTTCATCCAATGGTAGTCCAAACTTGTAGGAGAATATTCTCCCTCATAACATCTTGGAAAGAAGGGGTCAATTAATGGTTGTGGAAATGTTATGATCAATTTGTCTTTTTCTTTTTTTTTTTTTTTTTTTTTTTTTTTTTTTCTTTTTTTTTCTTTTTTTTAACTTTAAATGTTTCTGCATTATTTAAATTTTATACAATGTATTTAATTTTCATGTTCTAAATTTCTACAGCCTTGTATGATAATCTTCTTGCATCTGTTATTGTAAAAGTATTTTGTGAAGAAAAAACTTCCTTTCAAGCATAATTGCTTCATATGTTTGCTTGAAAAGTTTTCAAGCCTGACCAAATATCATTTTTAATTCATTCTGGGCCAGGCTGAGAACTTTTCAGCATCACTTCATGTCAAATAGCATTTAAGCCAGAAAGTTTTGCATTCAGTCCACTCAATTATGATCATTGTAAAAAAAAAAAAAAATCTGATCTTTTAAGGCCGAAAGTTCATAGGTGATATTTTTCATGTATTCTTCATGCAATGTCTCTGGCAGGCTATGAGACTGAAGTTAAAGGCATTCTAAATATTCTACTCCAGGTGGCACTTTCATCAACCTTATTCACAACACATTTACTTCCTTTGGTAAAATTATTAGCTTGAGTATCAGGTATTGGAATGTTGTTGGCTAAAGAATTTGAATCCTATTTCCTTTTCTTGAATGATAGGTTTGTTTATCATCAGGTTTACACTCCTCTCCAGTCTATTGAACAGGAGTATAGGTTTATTCCTTGTTTCCTGTTTAGGATTAGGTTTCCAGTTCTTACTAAAGCCCTTTCTTTCTCTTTCACTTCTGGTGGCCCCATCCTCTTGATGGCATTATCACCTTGTTTGGGATGGTGCCTCTTGGCTCTGTAACCTTCTCCCTCAAGTAGCTCTTGGGCCTTGTACTGAGTGAACCTCATTGTTAAAAATTAAATTTGTAAAATATATTGATAATAATCGAGTTTTACTTTTCTCGATTAATATTAAAATGAATTGAAGAGGTTTTTAACTGTTGTGAGCCTGTTGAATAATAGATACAGCTACACACTTGTTAAAAGCAATGTTGTTTGTTATATAGAAAACTAAAACCAATTAAAACTGTTTCCTTTGTCAACAACTGTGTAAACAAGAGGGTAACCAAAAAAATATTTTGCTTTCTTTTCATACATGCTAATTGCTAAATGTCAATATTTAAAAAAAAAAAAATTCCATCCAATGAATTTTGTTAAATTTTACATTTCTCAATTATAAAATCACTGTTACTATTTAATAACATCAAAGGTGTCCATGTAGCATAATCATTTTGGAACATTAAAAACTTGTTCATTTACTAATAAATGAACAGAAGTCTTTTGAAAATGATTTTTAATAGATTTTGTAATCCAAGTCTCCAGTGTATAAGCAAAATATTTAAGTTTTATTCCAATTTTTTTGTAGTTTTGGGAATGTCTTCTACATTTCCTTATGAAGCTTCAACTAAAATTTTTATTTATACTTACTAAATTAAATATAGTGTGGTTGGCTTAAAAATGGAAAAAGGAATTTCCTTTTTTTTTTTTTTTTTTTTTTTTTGCCTTACAAAATTTTCATAAATAAATACATAAAATTTTGTTTTCCGATCGTCTGATTGGGATAAGGATTAGTGTGATAAACTTAACCTGTCAAGTTTCAGGTATTTTTATAGACACATAACCTTGTTTTCAAAAGTATGGCAGCACCTAATTAACTGAATGATTGTTGAATATTTCTGAGATACCCATCAATACCTTATCTGCCAAAACTTCCATTTTTAAAGTTTTATATTAAAGTTTGTTGTTTTGTTTTTTTTTGTTTTTTTTTTTTAATGATTTTTTTAAATACAAACTTTCTATTGTCTTCAATTATCTAATTTTCAGTTAAAATGAATCAATACAAAATTATATACAATGGATTTTTTTTTCTCTTCTAAAAAAAAAATATGGAAAACAGCTGTTAAACTTGTCTTTATAGTCAGACTTAGAACTTGAGTAACATCAATTTCTGGGACAGGCACTTTTTCCTTTAATAACCGTTTATTGATTAGATGATTGCATAACTATTGTTTTGACTAATGTACTTGAAAAACTATTTTGTTTTTTGTCTGCTTGTCTCTCTCTTTCTCTCCTAGTACATTTCAAATTTTAATCCAAATAATATATTCCACAGTTAAGGTAGTCTCAATTTCAACATTGTCAGTTGAATCTAACATTAGAAACAAAAACTTAGATTTTTTTTGATATTTTTTTTTTTTTTTTTTTAATTGTTGATTCTGTACACTTGGTAGGGATGGGGAAGCTAATGAATGCTAAAGCTGTTTAGATGTTTATAAGATTGAAACTGTTCAATCTTACCATGTATTTAAAATGTACTTCATTAAAACTTAATTGTATTTCCCAACTGTCAAGTTTTGTAATTGTTTAAAATATTTAAAACTTTTCAGCAATCAGCTGGTATTTTTGGTCACCTGAAAGACATTGTCTTATCCCACATCCAGCAAGACCCAACTCCAGACTTAAATCCTGACACCTTAGCTGCTATCAGTGCCCTAATGTTGGCCCAGGCTCAGGAGAGCTTCTATCGGAAAGCCACAGCAGGTAAATCTTTCATGTATGTTGTGTGCATGAACATGTTTAATATTTTTAGATGTCTTCAAAACATTTTGTCTTTGTAATTTTTGTGTTGTTAGTTGTCAACAACTTATTTACTTTTTCTCCTATTCTCGTCAGATAAAATGAAGGAAGCAATGATTGCCAAGTTGGCCTATCAGTGCTCTGATCTCTATGCTGATGCCATGAAACTGTTGCAGCTGCAAACAATTAAAGAGCTTTGGCCAAGAGTAAGTTAACATTCTTCTTTTTCATTTTTTTCTCAGCAACATTTTTTAAGGCAGCCTCTAATAACTGAAGTCTGTACCAAAAAAATATATGACTCCTGGACACTGATCTATATTGATTCATATTGAATCCAGATTTTCATTTCTTTGTCAAATATTCTTTTCCATTCTCTTCAGGAATGGATCCCAGTGGCTGTAATGAAGCAGGCTGCATTTCATGCCCTGGCAGAATATTATCAAAGTGTTGTTGCTCAACAGAAAAAGTTATATGGAGAAGAAATTGCCAGATTGCAGGTAAGCAATTTACCTGATTCTATTCTTGTGAACATTTTTTTTCTCCTTTCCTTCTTTTTTTTTTTTTTTTCCCTTGCTTTTTTTTCTTTTTCTAAATCTCTACTTGTAAGTTTTATCCTTTATAGAAACTTAGCTACTGTAGTCTATATTCTCCAATAGGACAAGAATTGCATTTCTGAAACTGATTAATTTCCTCATGACAGCCCTTTCAGTAAATTTCTCATTTCTAATTGGTAATGCAGAATTGACTAAACATGTAAGCAATGACAGTTTTAGAGAAAATGTAACTGAAAAGGACATCTATACTTATCAGGAAAACATAGTTGAAATTTCTAGGGCACATAATGACAAAAGAGGGCTTGGAAAATTTTATGCTTACAGGAAGAGGCAAGAGGGACAGAGGAACATGCGTAACCTATCGAGTCAACTTGAATGGATGGCAAAGCAAGGCTTAGGAGAGATGGCAAAAATAAATTTTTATTAATAGCTACAAAGGAGAAGACATTATCACTAATGTCCTGAAGGAATATGGCAACATAGAAGAAAAAGAATGCAGATATCCTGATTATCCATCAAAGATTGATTTGCAGCTATTTTATTCAAATGTTCCTAAGTGACAAGAGCTTATTTGTCAAAGGAGAATCTCATTCAAGTAGATGTTCTTGAACAAGAAAATCCAAATTGCTCAAATCAAATAGAAATTTGTTTTAGTATACTTTGGTTATTTCCAAATTAAGGGCATTCTTACTCCTGTTGAGGAACCTTTCCCTTATTGGCCATGTCTTCAGGAGTGTAGCCATAGTCACCATGCATAGGTATGGCTATTTAACCTTAGTTGGGGTTCTGAATTCAAAGTTGTCCTTCTCAACCAGTTGCCACCCAAGTTTATAGGACCCAGTCTATCCTGCTATTAACCCATAGCTGGAGGGAAAAGAGATGGATTCATATCTTTCCCAAGGATGTTTTTTGGTTATTTATGTACATCTGAATAACCTTTTTTATGCCTGTTTTAGAAGATTAGGGAATTGGTAATTTATTTAATGTCCTGATTGTGGCAATGCCTAAAAGAAATCTAATTTGTGAAGTTTTGGATCATTTGACTTCAAAGGAAATTAATACCCGACTAAGGTAGGTCCATTTACCTAGAGTTTACAAGAGCTGAAATTCTGTTATGGTAAAAATATATCTGCAAACATTTTTCCTATATGTATGTATGTATGCCTGTTTTTATGTGCTGAAATAGAAATTTTAGTTATACCTATATATTAAGCAGATTATTGTACCCCCCTTATGATTTATTATTAGTTCTTACATTTTCAGAATGATAGTTGTGTTTCTTCCTTTCAGCATGCAGATGAACTAATGAAGGCTTCCCAAACAAGAGGAAGTGGAAGCTTCTGCTTCCGTGCTGAACACAACCGAATCTTGCGTGCTCTTGAAGCAGCCAAAAAGGATAATGACTTTATTTATCATGACAAGGTTCCAGACACCAAATCCTTGCCACCAATTGGAAAAGCTCCAGTGGCAAAACCTATTTTCCCTTCTTCCCCTTTGAGTTCTAACTTTATAGGTAAATACAATTTTAAGTTTGTTTAATTCTTTATCCTGTTTTTAAATAATTAAGATAAATGTCATTTCACACACACACACTATTGTAACAAAATATTGTAATAACAATCCTAATTATAAATGCTGGTCATTATTTTAAATACTTTTCTCTCTTAGTACTACTTTATAATTGCTCTCATCTTTTGAAATAAATTATTAAAATGGACAGTTTAAAATTGAAAATCACTTTGCTTTGTCCCATAAAAATAAGTTTGCAGAGAAACAATTCTGAATAAGCTTTGTAGGCTTTTCTTGTCAAACTTTCATTACTTTATTTTATTTTATTTTTTCATTTTCTCTAGAATATTTGAATCCTTTCAAATTTTGAATAATTTTCAGAATGTTTTAACTCATATACAGTTCTTTGTTAGAAAACTTTAAATAAGCTAACTGTCCAAATTGAAATTGGCGGTTGTATGACATAACTTTGTTGGCTAGCAACAAATGTTTTTTGTTATCTTTTATTGCACAATGCATGGGAATTTGACACAAAGCTAGGGCCTATCCTTTATTTAGTCAGACACACATGACTACTTTCTTCACTTACTATCATTGTTATTGATAAAAAAAATATGATTTAGCTGTTTTACATAAACTAATGGCTTTCTATTGGGTCAAGGTTTTTATTGGTACAAAATCATTCAAATAACTAACTGAATGTTTCTTTTAATGACAACTTATTATTTATACTCATGTTTAAAGCTATTTGCTATCTGCAAAACTGAACTGGATTAAAATTTAAATTATCCTTTAAAAATTTACAGTGTGTTATGCAGGTTCTAGCAACCTCCACCCTTGTGTGTGTGTGTTTTTTCTCTCTCTCTCTCTCTCTCTCTCTCTCTAGCACTGGTACTTCCAAAATCATTAAATATTTACATGTACCATTTTCACTTCAACTTCTGTTTTAATATTTTATTAATGTAACTATTTCAAAGAATTTCTTGACTGAATGAAAATGCGCACTCCTTTTTGAACCTACAACATGGAAAATATGACATCTCCCAAAACCTTGCACGTGTGTGTGTATATATATATATATATATATATATATATATATACACACACACACACCTACATTTAGAATAGGCTGATGAAAGAAGTTAGAACCAAAATAACAAGAATAATAAATGTTGAATGTAATTAGGCCTTTAGACTTTGATCAGCCTACTATATCTATATATTATAAGAAATGTGCATGGACAAGTTTTATATATATATATATATATATATATATATATACATACACACACACACACACACATGACTAGAAAAAACTATTCTTAGCCAATGTTTTATCCTCGAGGGACTTTCTAGGAAATTACCTTAATAAAGTCCCTCAGAGGACAAAATATGTCAGCTAACAGCTTCCTCTTGTCTTTTTATTCATTTTGTTCCTTTACAGATGCACATTATCTGAAAATAATTTACACATATAAATATATAAATTGCACATAAAGTGCTGGTGTTATTGAAACAGAGCTACAAAGTGTGTGTGTGTGTGTGTGTATATATATATATATATATATATATATATATATATATATATATATATATATATATGCTTAAATACTTAATTTCATGTAAATGTCAAACATAAAATTTTGGTTTGTCTTATTATTGCCATGTGTATAAAATTTTAAATAGCATCAAATTGAGTAACAAAAACACACACACATATATATATATATATATATGCGCTGTTATTTTACATTGAATTTTTTTTTTAACTCACTGTGCATTATTTTTATATATAATAAATTGTTTGGCATTTTCATTATTTAAATTTACATTGAGCACTTTTTATTCATATAACCGTTTTTGACACTTAATTTATCTTTTTTTTCTTTTTTTTTTTTTTTAATTGAAAAAATATATATATATATATATATATATATATGCTTTGATCTTCTATTGATTAATCATTTCCAGCTTGTTGATCTAGTTTTACTAGTGCTGTATTTTATCTATACATTTATTCTCCAACACTATCATTTTCTCTGTTACAAGGTTTTATTGGTCTTCACTGTTGTCTCCCACCATCTCCAATTTTTTCATGCTGAAATCTGTCAGCTTATCTCCCTATTTTCCATCACATTTATGCAGGTATTGTTCAGTGACACCCATTTTCACCTGAATTGTCACAGCTTATACTGCTTGTATTATTAGCAAGGTTTTTTTCTAACCCTGTCTCTCACCACTACACACACACACACCCTAGTAGGGTGTCACACCAACAATGATGGTGTTAGGTAGTCTTTCCTTGAGTTGGGAAGTTGTAGATTTTGACCCACTTTTAAATATGTAGGCTGTTCATTGAGTATTTTTGATTTTACTTCAGTTTTAAGACTAGTAAGAATCTTACTATGCTAATCAAGTCTGAAATTATTTTTTTTAAATCTCTTGTGCAAAAAAAATTTTGATATAGTTTTACGAATTCTATTTTATTCAATCAAAAATTTATGCAGGTTGAGTACTTTTAAATTATTTACAATAGTATGCAATATTTTAATTAAATCCACCATCATACTAGAATAAACACTAGATTTTCTTTGCTTTTATTATATAATAAATATAACTACAAATTCTTGATAACTTGCAAGGCATTTCAGACAATTGGAGAGTAGTTTACAAGCAGACTATTATCCTTATCTTTGTTATATCACAAGGTTTTGGAATGATTAAAGCATTGATTCATGAATTTAGTGACATAGCAAGTAGGAGTTCAATCCCTTAGCCAGGCAGTGCAGACTTAGACACAATAGAAACTAAATGAGCAGTACTAAATAAGAACTAGACAAAATAGAGGAATGAGAACCATTTATCATGTAAAGAGTTGAACTTGAAATTTATTTGAAGCTTACCCGGACTGACAAGCACCTAATTTAGGCCAGAGCGTACAATGGCCAAAATGTTGGGATAATAACAAGAAAGATTAGGACAATAGCCTGCATGTAAATAATTGAAATGAAGATTCTATACTAAATATTTGCCACTATATACAATTACTAGCAGAAGATTGGTTATTAGTGTAGGTTGGTTTATATTGATATTCTAACATTTAAATTTTATTACTGATCTTGTTCTTTAGACCACTTAAATATCTGAAGACACATTCTTGTTAGCAAAGTAATATCATGTAATGACAATCTTTTTGCAGATCTCTTTGAGAAATTGGTTCCATTGCCTGTGCATGAAGCAATGGTTAGCTTTGAGAATCGGAAGAATCAAATAATCAACCAAGAATGTGGTCGCTTAAAGGAGGCTACACAACTGCTGAATGGGTATGAATGCATTTTACTTAAATCTTTATTGTTTAATGAAACCAGTTACTTTCAATTTTATACTATAAATCTGTACACTTGTTTGGACAATGCATGCTTTGTAAAGGCAAGAATCCTTTTAACTTGGTTTTTGGTGAAGTAGGTACTCTTTTTTTGATTGTTGCTTTTAATTTGTTTGCGTTTACATGTTTACATCATTTCCATTTCCATATTTCAACTTCCATGTAGTCATAAATCTGAAAAATTGTGATTTCTAAGTATCTATGAAATTCGGAAAGATAAGTACTGTATCTTAAACCATACACACAGAACTTTTTAAAAATTGCCTATTCCTAAGACATATATCTTCAATTTGTTCATGTACAAATCAATGAAATATTTTTTATTTTTTAAATGTGGAATTTTATTTTTACTAGTGTACTAGCCTCACTCAACCTTCCTGCTGCTATTGAAGACCTGTCTGGTGACAGTGTTCCCACATCACTGTTAGAGAAGGCTCAACAGCTGAGAGATGGTGGAGGGGTTACTGCCCTTAACAAAATGATGCAAGACTTGCCTGAATTATTGGAACGTAATAGGGAGATCCTAAATGAAGTAAGTGGATATATACCAAATTGCTTTGACTTTTAGCAATTGTTCGAAATTGTTTAATTTGTAACTTTTGGGTTGATGTTCTAATCATCAAGCTACACTTCATTAACTGAATTGTGCTAATTGTAAAATGTTATATGAAATGATATAACAATGCCATGACAAAGTTAACCACATATTAGGTAAATAATTTTCATTGAGTCATAAGTAATTTCCGTTTTTAAGAATTGCAATGATGGCTGCATTATCCTACCTACTAATGATTTACGGCAGTTAATAAACTTAGAGTACACTAATGTATGACCATGTTCAATGCATAAAAGGTAATGGATTGACAAGGATAAATCTTCACATGACCCCAAAAGCGGATCACCATGAAAGATAGGTAATGTTGTGCATGTGATGGATCATTGGGATATTATTCATTTGGAGTTTTTAACACGCAATGAAACACTATAAATGCACATTTATACCTCCAGCAGCTACAACCTGTCCATAAAAACTTGATAAAAAAAAAACGCTCTATGCATTCGTCAGTAGGAAAAATGCTTGTCTACTCCATGATAGCACAAGATTGTATACAGCAAGAATAATACAGCAAAAAATATTAGAAGTCATTTGGTTTGTTCTACCCAACCTTCCATATTCACCTGACTTTGCAACAACTGATTATTACTTTTTTTTTTTTTTTTTTTTTTTTGATTACTGCAAATCATTCTGATGGGGAAAACCATATTCAAGGGTTTGTTGAAAACATTTTTACATCAAAACCCCATGAAATTTTACTCAAAAGGTATTGAAAAACTGACTGGTAAGTCGTAACAAGTCATTGCAAATAATAGTGAATTAAATAAAATGTAGCTGTACTTTATTTTTTGAAGAATAAAGTTCATAAACAATAAACGGAAACTATTTATGATTTCACTTAATAATTTAGGGTTTTCTTCTTCAGCCCTAAAAGAATAAGTTAATAAAATGATCCTCATAATTTAAGTTTCATGAAAAGTAATTATGTTTTTTGTGAGTATTTGTTTTCTTGTAAATGAATGTCGAGACTTTAAATCATTTAACAATAATTTAAGACTGTCTTTCACAGATAATTTTGAAGGTACTCAAGAGAAAACTGAAATAACTTTGTATAAGGTTTCTCCTTTTTTTATTTTTTTTCCTTTTTCTCTGCAGATTTTTATTTTTCTAATATTGTTACATGCCATATTTTCTTGTTTATAATAAGATTTGAACAAAAATTAAAACCGTCCTGGGTATGACGATAAACTACATCCAACATGCAAGGCCTCTGATCAGGAGGTTTTGAGCAGCATGGAACCACCTCTTAATTGCTGATGTTCCCAGGTCCACCCTGACCCAGGGTGGTAGCACCTGTTAGGGTTCTAGCTCTGGGCAAATATTTTACCCCCCCCTCCCCCAAAAAAAAAACTCTGATCAAAACATTATGAAAGTGTAAAAATGGGTTTTAATACCAGAAATACTTTGTATAAAAAATTATTACCAGCAATACATTTTTGAAAAAAAAATATTACCAGAAAATAGATTTTTGCAAAAAAAAATATTACCAACAATGAAAATTTTGTTGGCATTAAGTAACCCATTGAGGTTGATATGCCACAAAACAAACCAAACCAAAAATTAAAAGGCAAGAAGGGTGTTCATATTATACACAAGTACAGGTTTCAGTATTTTTTTACTCGGTTTAAGAAAACCTTATTTGAAACAGAGAGATTGCAAATACACTCTGTTATCACAATAGATAATAAAACACAAAATAGACAGGTGTTGATAACAATTTACAAAAGGTATTTGATACATCTGCAATATTTGTTTCTCTTTTCATTCTTAATGAAAGACAATATTTTTATTTCTTATTTTCATAGTTTATTAATATATAGAAATCTAATAGTTATATCAAATAGAAAAGCATGATAAGCTAACTCCTTAAGATTTATTACCACATATGTAATTTACTACATAAAAAACGGTGAAGCCAAGGCTGTTGCATTGGATATCTTGAAAGTCTTTGACAGAGTTTGGCATTCAGGTCTTCTCTACAAGCTGAAAAGTTGTGGTGTTTCTGGACACTTTTTTTTTTTTAACTGATCCAGTCTTTCCTATCAAATTGTGAAATGAGTTATCATGAATAACCATTCATCTATATCCTTTTGTACCAATACCAAGACTCTATCCTTGGTCCAACTCTATTTTTAATTTTCATTAATGACCTTCCTGATGACATCAGCTCTCTACTTGGTATCTATGCTGATGGCACAACAATTTACTCCTGTCTCAATAGTAAGGCTTATCAGTCTGACAGGGTCAAAATGATAGCCAATGTTCAAAACAACCAAGTCCATAGTTAACTGGGGCAAATGATGGCTTGTTAATTTTAATGTCTCCAAAGCTAAATTTCTCTCCATTAATCATCTGAGAGACCCCTTGCTGCCTTCCATCAGTTTGGCTGATAGTATCCTCCAGGAAAGTAACTCGTTGCGCCTTTTCTGGCTCACATTCTCTGCTGATATGAAGTGGAAAGACTATATTGAATCCATTGCTAGGTCAGCTGCTAAGAAAGTCTATTCACTATGTCAGTCAAGACTATTTTTCTCTCTTGAATCTATCTATCTTACTTACCTGTAAGTCTATTATTTGTTCATACTTAGAATATTGCTGGTCCAGTGCTTCTGTTATTTACCTTGAGCTCCTTGATAAGATTCAAAAAAAAATCTGCAATATTATTGGTCCTGATCTGGTGGCTCAGCTCCAGTCACTTTCCCACTGCTGTTGCCTCTGTCTTTATAAGTATTTCCATGGTAATTGTTCAAATGAGCTCTTCACTATGGTACCTAAAGTTTTTGAATTTAAGCGCAGCACTAGACTGGTGTTGATATCTCATCACTATACAGTTAAGCTGGTTATATGTAGCCGCAAGTTCTATGCTAACAGTTTCTTCTCTCGCATGTCTCGCTTATGGAACTCTATTCCGGCTCCATGCTTTCCAGCCAACTTTAATCAGCAAAAATTTAAATGTCAATCACTATCTACTGTCCTCCTGATTACTCTCTTCTTTTTCTGCTCATCATTAATGTTTCTATTCTTAATTCTTCCACACCCTGTAACCCCTTGTGTTTTAGTGGAATTACTGCCTTGCTTGGGGTGATTCAGATTAGAAAAAGAAAAAAGTCTAGTTTTCCCCAAAAAATTGAAAATAATTTTCAAAACTGAAATTAGAAGAAACCTGCAAAAGCTAAATACATTTCATTTCTATTTTTTAATGTCATGAAAAATTAAATATTTTAGTGAAACATGTACAACATTGAGATTTTAATGGATAATATGGTATAACTTTAAAAGAAAATTACATAGGGATCTACTGTACTATAAGTATAATAATACTCAAGGATGTAATTTATTCCCTGTTTTTTACTTCAGAAACACGGAATTGTATTATACACAAGAAAATATGATAACTGTTTGTAAAAGATTTTTGTTAACATTACTAAAACATTTTCTTTAATTCAGTCGAGTAAGATGTTAGATGAAGAAGCCAACTGTGACTCTCAATTAAGAGAACAATTTAAGGAAAGGTGGACAAGAACTCCTTCCCAGAAATTGACTGGGCCCATGAGAAGTGAAGCTACTAAATATCGGCAAATCTTAAACAATGCCATCCAGGCAGACAAGATTGTGCAGGAAAAGTTTAACAAGCACAAAGAAGCAATTATGCTGCTGACAAAACCAGAGGTAAGATTATATAACCATACCAAGTACCTTTTCAAACAGCATTTTTGGTAGATTAACAGAAAATTAATGAGATGTGACAGTTTTTGTATTATCCCAATACCTTGTTAACCCTGTACATCTTTATCTTTAAATTCTTTTTAAATGATTATATTCTAGAATTTGTTCTGCTGTTATAACAAGAAGCTTAATAAAATAACTTAAATAATGAGTAATTTAAGTTCTGAAATGTCTGTAAAGTCATTATTCCAGAACTACCATAACCCAAATCCCAAACCTTTAATTTCAGGAAGAGCTTCGATCTGCTTTGCCCTCTGCTAATCCAACAGCTGCCCTTAAGGACAGCAGTGTTGTCCAAGAATTGCGCAAATTAATGGAAGAGGTTGAAACTATCAAAGCTGAGAGAGAAGTTACAGAGAAAGAGATCAGAGATGCTACATTTGATATGTGTAAGTAGATGTAAATTCTATGCTAATAGTTTATTTTCTCAGACTTATTTTCAGCTTTGAGCTTTCCAGTCTGATGTTCAAAAATCTAAATGCTCTGTCAGTTGTTACCTTCTGTCTTAATTCCTGTTCTTTTATTGTTCTTGCTCTTTAATGTTTTTTCTCTTTATTTATACTCTTTCATACTCAGTAACCCCTTGTGTCTTAGTGGCTTTATTGCCTTGCTTGGAGTGAAATGATTGGGGGGAGGGAGATTTGGCACTCATACTATTTTACTTTTTTTTTTTTTTTTTCTTTCTTTCCAAAATGGTTTTCCTGTTTTACTATTGATCACTCAATATATGGTGCAAGAGCCAATCAAGATAGAGGGTTACTAAATGAGCTGATTGTAAAGACATACAAGGAGGGAACAAGAAATTCATATTATAAGGATATGTAGAACAGTTGACTCTAGACTTGAAGAAGATAAAATTGTAATGATCTGGAGAAACTATCTGAACTTCCTGCTTACCACTGAAATATGAAGGGAATGAGAATGACACGTGAATGTTGCCTGGCAGGTTTTCAATAGGAAGGTCTGAGCTTGTGGAACCAAGGAATATAGTTCACCCAAACATATGCCATGAATCGCATAGCAAGAGGCTTGCAACATTGTCTGGTGGGGAAGGGATTTTAGAGTGGAAATCAATTCATCACCCATTAGGCTGCACAAACACTTCTGCACTCTTTTCAAAGCTGGAAAGTGAGGATTGGATAGCTCCAGCCAAAATATGGTAGCAATATTCCATTTTTGGTTTTATTTGACTCTTAAAGATAGAGCATGACAGGAGTCAGGTACTTTCTGGAGTGGTACAAGGAACCAAACATTTTTTCAGCACATGGATTGGATATATGAGTTCCAGTTGAGGTCCTGAGTGAGCTTAAGTCCCCAATAAAAGCTCCAGGCAAGGAACTGCATTTAGAGTACATGACTATCAGTTTTTTTAAATTAGAAAAATGCTTGGTTTCAGTCATGTGTTTTATTGTATATATTCACAATCAGTTTGTATTGCTTTGTACTTATAAAAGCAATGCCTTTTAAGACATGTATATTACTCAATGAATTTTGCCAAATCATTTATACTTAGCTTCCATTTGAGTTCAGTTTTCTACTTCCAAATAAAAATAATTCTTCATATCAAAAACTACAAACATAATTTCATGATTGCATGGACATGTCTGCAAGTGATCCGCTGGTGGCATGGGGTGGGGGTGTTGGCTGAAGCTCACCACAACTTTACTATTAACTAGACTGCATCTATTGATCCATTCCCCTTGGCTTCTAATGCAAAGAATTGAAAATGCCAGGATAATGTGATTAATTTAAAAAAATTTTTTATGAGGAAATGTTGAAAAGTTCTTAGACCAAACAAGAAGTCTTTCTACCACCCAAATATTTGTTTGGTCAGAGTTTAGGGAGAGAGTTGGGCCAAGAACTTCCCAGCACATTTTCTTGGAGATTATATCTAAGTTTGTGCTCTTTTTTTTTTTTTTTTTTTTTTTTTTTTTTTTTCCTGACATTTCAAATGAATTTATTTATTTTATTTTATTTTTTTTATTTTTCATCTTCAAATAGCAAGCAAATTCATGCATGCAATGGCTCAAGATGGTCTCATTAATGAGGAATCTCTTGCTGTACCAGAACTCAATAAATATTTTGGTCCTCTGCTTGGGCAAGTTTCTGATAGTGTCAGTCGACAAGAGGCAATCTTGAATAAAATACAGGTATGGGAAAATGCTTCTCTTCCACCTGCTAAACTTAAACTTGTTCAGTATGTTATAAATACTTAAAACTGACTTATTAACTGATGCTATTTTTTTTCTTAGTTCATTTTCTATAAAGCTTTTAATTAAAACAAAAACGTTTGTATTATGCAAACTTTTCAAAGCAGTAATGTTACTGAATTTGTGTGGCTGTTAAATGTTTTCAATCAAATTATTTTTTGCAATGTTTTTATAAGCTATTGGAATGGAATTCTGTTTCTTTTCAGAAAGCATGAATAGAAAAGTTTGATCTAGGAAATCTCCAATCATGACTTAATGTATGTCATTAAAGAGATGTCAAAGGATTTATTTACATTGCAGCTTCTTGCAAGACTATTGTAAATCTTAATTCTCTTTAACTTTTAATGATGACATTCTCATTTCAGACTGCCAATTCAGAGTTTTGTAAAGCAAAAGCCTCAAACCAGTCAGCTGGCAAAAGAGAAGCCATGCTTAAAGACCTTGCTGCAGGCTTTGATATGTATATTGAATTAACAGACAACCTCAAAGAAGGCACAAAGGTAACGTTTGTGTTGAGATCTTATTCCAGAAGCATTTATAATTTTAAAGAATTTTCTGCTTTTTACAAAAAAAGTCTTTTCTATAACATTCTCTGTAATGGTTAATTAAATTTTAAAAAACGGTTTTTTAAACTATAGTTTTCTATAAGATTTTACCAGGGTTTTTTTTTTTTTTTTTTTACTTTTCAGTTTTACAATGATCTTACGCCGTTATTGTTAAGGCTTCAAAACAAGATATCAGATTTTTGTTTTGCCCGTAAAACTGAAAAAGAGGAACTTTTAGCTGACCTTTCAAAGGATATTGTAAACCAACCTACACAACAGCCACCTCAAGCTCCTAAATACCAACAAAGTAAGTTTCATTAATTTATTCCCCAATCTGTAAATTTTCTTCTTTTTAGGTATGCTTTCTAATTGTACAAAATGTTTTTATTTGATTTGGAGAAGTTGAAGATTGCTGGATTCTACTAGTTATCACACAATATTTTTTGGTTACAAAATAGTCTTTCACTGAATATTTCGTTTTAGATATTCTGTAAAGAATTTGGTAGTGAACTTGTCCGTAATGTTCACTTTCAAATATGTCAGTTGGTTTTACCAATCATCAGATGACAGCCCCAAATCAATAGAAAATCTGAATATTTTATTTTTTCATATAATGCACAAAATACTAGGCTAATACTTTTGAACCTGTATATTTCTCTGCTTGAAACTGATATTTTATTGTATTATGATCCAATTAAAAAAAAAAAAATCAGTGAATTGACGTTTTTAAAACTTTATTACATTACTTGATGATTGTAAAACTAATTGAATTATACCACAAAGGATCAGTGTATTATTAAAAAAAAAAAAAAAAAAATCACATTTGAAACCAGTTGATCCAATCTTGAGTCTTGTTTTCATAAATATCAACTACAATTTCCCTCTCACTTATTCCCCATTACAACCAGGATAAAGAAAAAGCAACAAGGATCTAATATGTGCTCGTGAATTGACAGTTTCTTGTTTCTCTTTTTACTCCTCTTGTTCTTTTCGTGCTGCAAGGAAAACGTTCTGGTAATTCCTTAAAATCCTTTGCAAATTTGCTTTCATTTGCCCAACCCATTTTTTATTGTACAATATTTGTCAATGTTGTTTAGTTCTTCACTGTGATGTATAAATTGTCTTATGTTTGGAGAGAAATTTTTTAAAAATAAAAATGATTTTGAAAATGCATGTGTAGAATATTGCATAGCCCAGAAAGATTTAGTTTTCTCAAAGCAAATTTTTGAACTTGTAAATTCTAAATTCTTGATTGTTAAGACTCTGTTTGACCAGAAATGTTGAAAAAATTTTATCCTGGTTATCCAAAAAATCTAATGTATTTAATAACTGCAAAATCAAATCGTTAGTCTAGTGCTTTTGATACAAACTTTACAAAAAACATAACAAAATCATTTTTACCCCTTTGAAAAATGGAACAGTCCACTGATAATTTATCAGGGGGAGATAATGCATAATAAAATTTATATAGCTGTTGTCTGAGTAAATGTCTATGGAAATAGCTTGTTAAGAAATAAATTTATTGATTCATTAAGTCTGTGTAAATTATTGAAACTAAGTATGATGATTACTGGCTACCAATGCTGTTTTGAATCTAAAACAATTTTTATTTCTTATATATTTTGCCATTAAAGTTTTCTACTTCCCATGGAAAACAGAACCATTAATAAAGGTTATATTATATATATATATATATATATATATATATATATATATATATATATATATATATATAAAATATCCCTTTTATAATATTAATTTGAAACATCAAATAAATCCATTATATTACTAAATTTATTTTTCTTTGAATTTAACTGTTCAAAGATTTTAAAAGAATCTTTTAAGAGAAAGAAGTATGACAGTGGGAAAAGATTTTATGTGATGCATTTCATTCTTTAGGACTTCATTGGACAAAACACAAATTTTTTTTTTTTCCATCATACGTCTTTCCCCTAAAATTGTTTTTGATATATAAAAAATATATTGTTATCCCATAATAGAATCTATAAAAGGGTACAATTTCTAGATTATTATATTTTGAACTGTGCATGTTGTGTTGTAAAGGTTTTTGTAATGAATTAAAAATATTTATTATAACATGCTTGCAATTTTATTCAATAATCTTTAGTAATTTCCATGTTACAAAATACAGGTTTACTTGCGTGTTGTTTGAAAACACATTTTGGGATTAATTTTTAAAAAAATTAAAGATTCTTAATTGATCTAATCAACAAGAATTCTTAATATTAAATCCAATGTAATGATAGTATTTTCAATGTAATAAGATTTTATTGTCAATTCATTATTTCATGTACTTTTAATTTTAGAATAGTTTTAAAGAGATTGTGATGGTGGGGAAGGAGATAGTAAAAAGTTCTCAGCCTGACCCATTTCCAAAATCTGTCCAAATGACCAAACCTAAAAAGTCACTTGGGAAAGGGTTTTTGGTCAAGCAGATAACAGTGTGATGTATTGTCTTAAAAAAAAAAATTGTTTATATAACAAAAGAAATATAATTTTTTTCTACTGTTAAGCAGTTTACAATGTTAGTAGTATTATTATAGATAGTTCAGCATTAAGGAAGTAATTGAACTGATTTATATAAAATCTAGATGATGAAATGATATTAGCATTTTGTCAATTTTTACTCAGTTTATACTTTTGCAGTATTGACTGCTCAGATTACCCTTTTTAGGTATGTATATATTATCAATCTTGAATTTTACTCAGATTGGATATCAATGTAAGTCTATCAACCAAAAGGCAAGGAAGGATAGCGGACACACATAGATAAATAAAAATATGATCATTGTACATTTTTTAAAAGATTGTTGGTGTCAAGAAACCTTTCAATAATGTAAAATATTTTCCTCTCAACTTGATTTGGTTTCAAACCAATTCTTGGGATGCTACTCCTTTTTTCTCTTAATGACAGGATGATTCAACAATGTTTTTAAAAAATAAAATAAAATGTTAAATCAGTTTAAAATTCTTTCATGGTTTATTGAAAATTTTTATTGAGATTTTTAAATATCCTACATAGGTATACAGTCTGATAGAAATGATTTTTGATGTCATGATTAAGAGGAAAAGAAAGAATATTCCTTGTGAAAATTTCTCTGCATCTATTTTCTATACCTAACTCTGTTATGTACGACCCAATAAGACTGAAAGTAGATGGACAGGCACTTTTCCTCTCTACCCCATTTTACTGTTGGCTAGTTTTTAGTTCAATGTTGTGTCAAGTTGTGTGTTCTATTTCTTTTGCAGACAGCACATTGAATACATCTGACAAAAAGACCCCACCACCACGACCACCTCCACCCACTGTTAGTCAGGCATACACACCATCAGCTCCCCCCTCTATTCCATCTACTAGTGAACCTACTGCACCAGGTAAATGCTATAACAGTCGGATCCAGCCTTCTTCTTTTACCTTTTTCTGCCCCCCACCCCCCAAAAAAACACCTGATGTTTATATTAGTAATGGTAATGGAAAAGAAAAAAAAATATCCTCCTTCTGGTCTTCTTTCATACTTCCATTCAAATTTGTTTTTTTAGTTGGTACCTATTGCAAAATGTCATTAATTATATCAACAATTCCCAACACAAGTTTTGCAAAATTATCAAACTAATAAAGAACTCTTATATTAGCAACATTTTCACTTTGAAATGATTTAGTAATAATGCAATTTGGTATCATCTAAAAAATAACCTTACTCCTTCCCTTATGTTTACTAACAGTAGTTTTACACACAGTTTTGACTAATATCATTAACTTTTCAGCATAAATATATTTTTTTTTTAAGACGCACCTAAACAAGTTGCATTTTATAGAATTGGATCTTAAACTTCACTCTTATGGTCATCCACAACTTCAAGCCCTGATGAAATTTCATAGCATTATTTAACCTGGGATAGACAACAGGTTTGTTTATAGTTTGTGTGAGCTTTGCAAACTAATCTCAAAATTGAACTTTTTTAAATGAGATGTGGATGGAAGCCAGTTTCAGATTTTGTTTAAATCTAGAAGCTTTACAGCACATTAAGCATATTAACAGCAACAAAAACAAGTTCAAAGAATTTTTTTTATCAGTCTATATTTCTGAGATGAGGTATTGTAACTATTTGCACTATTTACATTGTTTAGTCACCTGGCTTGGTGGATAAAATTGTTGGTTAAAGTAATCCAATGACTTGACCCCAAAGTGTTGTGAATTCAATACTTGGCCACAGCAGAGGTGAACAAAAACTTGGAAAGTTGAGTTACTAAAGGGAAATAACTGAAACTGAGATATTCAGAAAAGGCATGGCACGTGGAACTAGAACAATCCACCCTGGTGGACAAAATAAAGGGTCAGATTCAAAATGCCAATGTATATCACCTGAAGAACGCCGGAGTGTACAATGGCTGAAACATATTGAATATGACAATAAAGATGAGGACAATACTCCTAACAATGTAAATAGTATAATATTTTTTTTCTTCACTTTTTGATATCAACCATAGGTAAAATAAAATTATCCTAAAAATTTTGCTTTCATCCTGGTCCCACTTGTATTAGTGCATACTGACTGATAATCAAAAATGCTAATCCTTCCTCAGTTTTCTCCTTTTTAACATTGTTTATTTACCTTTAAACACCAGCTTTTCTCATAAACACTTGCTATTGAAAAAGCCTCATCACAGTTTCTTAAAAAGTTCTCTTTAAAAGAACTTTCACTGTTGTGCACTTTTATATTAACAATTTTTATCTCTGCCAATTATTTCCCTTGTGTGGAAACTGCATGCCAATATTCATGAATACAGGTAAGTTGGCATTTGGGACATATTTGTCCCCCCCACTTTTGTGTTGGCAAATACTTTTTATTTTGGGCTTAGAATATGCATTTTGAATTTGTATTTTGTATATATATATATATATATATATATATATATATATATATATATATATTTAAAATTCTATGAATGTTTTAAGGTTTTGCATGTTTTATGACAATAAGCAGGAAATTTTTATCTTGCAAAAATGAGTTTGCTAAATGTCAGAGAATATTCTGGAAATTAAACACTGCATTGTTTTTTTAATTTGCTTATATTTATATATATATATATATATATATATATATATATATATATATATATTATTTTTTTTTAAAACAGGTCTTGTAATGTCTCGTATCTTTATATTTTTGGGTTCAGGAATGATCTGCTTGTATGAAATTCAATTAAATCTCTTTGAACAATTGAAATTTCAACAAAATGTATACTTGTTGAGTAAGGTAAATATTGTATTAAAATTGTCATTGAAATTAATTGTTGTAAATATAACTATATGATGTTGTTAACTCTCAATCATGGAATTCTTTAGAAATTCCAGAGAATTTTTATAAATATTAAATTTACTTTGACTTTGAATATATTTTTTTCTTGACAAGGATAAATTTCTTATCCTTATTTGTTACATATGAACTTCAATTATTTGTATTTGCCTATGATATGTTTCTGCTTTGGAGTAGTTAATATTGAATTTAATTAAAACTAGATTTATTCCCAATTTTCTAATAGTGTGAATTTACATTAATCTTATAAAGACCAAAAATCTTTACTAAGTAATTTTTCAGTTACACAAGTCATTAAGAAAGGCTTACTTTGAAGAGAATTTCCATTCTAAGATAAAAATGAGTTGTCTTGTATAATTTTGTCGTTAGGGTGTTGAGCTTTTTGTTACATGAAATTATGAAAATATCATTGATTACAAACTCTTGATGTGCTTTTCTTGCTGTCAGGTCTAAAAATATTAAGGCCTTGTTTCCCCAAACCCTTTCATTCATGCAATCCCCATATATATTTCTCTCAGTACCTCGACTGATTTGCTGAAAAAAAAAAAATTCCTAAATTAGCTAAAAAACTAAGTTTTATTGTAAAAAAAAAAACAAAAAAAACTTTATTATTAGGAGGAAAGAACAAAGTATTTTTTTGAATATTTAAATTTTTTAATCCTTTTTATAACATTCGAAATGTGAATTAAAAATCTAGTTTTTCTTGCATCAGCAGATGCACTATAAATTAGCATAGCAAATTTTAGTGTCTTTTTTGCAGTGAAATACATTGATTTGGAAATTCTTGCAAAAATCACATTGTTGGGTTTTAATGAAACTTTCAGGACTTGTTAACAAATGAATGAATTCACTTTAGAATTTTTTTATACAATTCACCACACTTGTTGAATTTGAATTTTCATAAATTAACTCATTTAAATTATTTTTAGTAACTGTAAAAGCAGGACTAGTTGGAGAATTTTTTTTTTTTTTTTTTTTTTTTTTTTTTTTTGTAAAATCGAACCTAATCTTCCCGAAAATATGCTCTGAATTGTAAAGTAAAAAAACACAATCAAACTAAGATAAGACATTATTTAATTAGAAAAGCTTTTAATTGCTTTTGTGAATAATATATGAGGACATTGCCTTAAGAAAAAAATTTTCAAGGAATAACTAATTTTTACAAGGTATGTTTTCATTTTGTTTATGGTTTTAATTAGAATAATTTATAAAGTTTTTAAATCTTTTTAAAATTAAGTTTCACTGGCCTAAAGGCTAGGAAAATATTTTTGAGGAAAAATTATATTTACTAATAATAAATCAAACGCTTATTACAATTTAAGATCACTCAGTATTTTTTTTTTTTTTTTTTTGTATGTGTATATACCAATTTTTGTAGATACATGAAAAAAAATGAGTGATAACTATAGTAAATTAAAAGCCAAATAGTATCTAAAATTCATTAAAACATTAGTATTGAGGATATTTTCTTAAATTTTTAAGATTACTGGGTACTTAAAAATATATGAAAGCGTTCACGTTATATTCAATTATTTTTTTAAAATTTTTTACAGCTAAAGCCCCCATAGAACAACATTAAATAAACATCAATCTGTCAAAAAACATCAACACCATGTTCGTATAGGTCCTGGAAACCTTGAAAAGTCCTAGAAAATTGACAGGGCACTTTCCAGGGCTTAAAAAGTCCTGGAAAAACAGCATTAACCCAAAAGCTCCTTGAAAAGTCCTGGAATTGTCTAAATTGAGCTGCCTGCACATCCTTTTTCCTCAATTCATGAAAGTCAAAATGGGGCAAATTCCAAAAATCTGTCTTTTTTTTAAAAAGCTAAAATTGTCCTTCAAGAAAAGTGTCTTAGTGATCAGTAATATTTGGCAATTATTGCGAATGGTGGTTGTTTCCTTGATTAGAAAGAGTTCATGACCTTGTAGTTACTTCTGTATTTTCTCATCTAGGTGACTAGAAAGAATATAAAGGCTTATCTTCTAGCTGCTATCCCCTCACTGAACAGGAAAAGTGAAGATAAAAGGTGTCAATGACAAGTAAACATCTCTGTCAAAGATTTAATTAATTCCCATTTATTGAATTTGTAGATGAAAGGAAAATAATTATTTTACAGTAATAAAATACATTTTAGTAGAATCTCGAAAAATTTATCAGTTTTTTTTTTTTTTTTTTTTTTTTTTTTTTTTTAATTTGAACAATGGAAGAAATGTTATTCACCTGTCAATTTCAAAAGTCCTTTTGATCTCTAGTCAGCAGTGGATGAGTTCCTGCAAAAAAAAAAAAATACTTTCCTGTGTTAGTGTGTATTTATGTGTAAACTACAATTGTCTAAATTTTTGCCAAAAGTAACAAGTTTGAGAATCAAGTTTGACTCAATGTAAATAAGAAGGATGATAGAAAATCTGCCTTTGATTTGTCTTAGGATAGGTTAGAAAATGTGTCTTTGAAAAAAAAATAAGAATGTTATTTTTAAATTTGCAGGCTGTTAATGACCTCCATCTCTAGTTTTTTGTTTGTTTTTTCACGAAAAAAAAAGAAAATGATGAAATGTATTGAAACTTATTTGGCTTTTATTGCTTGACTTTAAAAGTTCAATGTGGCAACTCTGTTCCTTTTACTTTTGTATTACTGCCATAGACGTCTAGAAAATGTACAAACATAAATGGCTCCTAGACATTTGGCCAGATATTATCAAATTTGTGAACTTAAGAAAAATGTCCCTAGACCAAGTACTTCTCTGTGGTGTTGTCAAATGTGAACATTTAATTTCCAGTGAACCATCAGATTTTTGTGTCTGTTTTGAAAGACATTGAACCGTTTCTGATAAAATATCAGTGCTATAAACTGTTGTTCCTTTACTTTCAGATGTTTTTTTCTAGCATGATCGTGAAACTGTTAAGATCGACAAAGGAAGAGCACACTAAAAACATTTTGAATTTGTAAGGATTTTATCAAACCCAAACATGCATAAAGATGCTGCACAGATCGAATGTGGATTTCTGGCAGATAGGGCTATGCAAAATTTATGCAAAAAAGGAAATGTGTTAACAAAAGATCTGTTTGTCTTTGTTGTAATTCTACATGCAATGTTTCTCACCATCATTGAGAAACTTCTGCCAAATTCTCCCCTTAGATGCCCTCATGTAACTTCACTTGCATGGCTAAACTCTGGGTCCATTTGTGAAAAAAAAAAAAATGCCACAGGAAACAGTTGAAAAAGATGTCTTTCTCACATGATGAACAGTAAACATGTCAGAAAGTTTGATTGTGATGACATCATCAGTTAGTACAAAGATTTCGAGGAGGGGGCTACTGGAAATATTGCTTTCAAGAATTTCAGCATGCATAAAGACCGTCTGGACACTTTGTTCTGCTCTTCATTGTCTAGCAACAAAGAATATCAAAAAACTGGAATAATGTTTGCAGATTGCTGGTACTGTCTCATGGACAGAACTTGGAGTGGTTTCTCAGTCAGTAAGGAAATTTTTATTGACAATATGAAACAGCCGGCCATGGTCGCACAGCACATTATAATAGATTATTTGGCCATAGTGGGAGGTGCTGGGAACATTCCTGTGACTAAGGCTCTTCTCTGCAGTGCTTCCAACATCAGCTTGAGGCTGAGAAGAAAAAAAGGAAGGAAGTAGCAGTTGGAGAAAAACAGAAATCCATTCTTATGGAAATTGAAGACCTGAAAACCAAAAAAACACAATCTTGAAAGTTGCACACAAGATTTGCTAAAGTCAGCTGACAATGATGTGGAGAATACTGAGCAGATTCAGAACTTCACACTTATTGCAAAGTCCAATGCCCTGTGAATATCTGCAAAGGAAAAATTTATAGAGATATCAAAATTGAAAGAGGAGCTGAATACTAAACTAGATGAACTGAAAAAAATGTTAACATCAATGTATTCTGTACAATGTGCAACAAAAGCAACAATTAGTAGGGGTAGCTAAAATGTGTAGTCTTTTTGTGAAAATTTCTATTTATTGTTCTGTTCATTAAAAACACTATACATAACTTCACAGGAAATGTGCAACAGTCAAGAATTTTTGTAATATTCACAAACTTTGATTAGTCTAGATGAAATGTGTAGCAGTAACAATTAAAGTGTGTAATTCAAAAATTTTCAAGTGTAGTAGAACTCCAAACTGTGTAGAATGTTAGACAAAATGTGTAACATAACCAGGACTGTATTCAGTTGTGTTTTAGCCTTTAACACTTGGATTTCTTCACTGCTTTCAACTTGATTCGTGTGACATGAATTATTGGGGCCAGCTGTAGCTTTTCTTTGCACATCTCATCTGTCAAACTATTAAAAGATGAATTACAAACTTTTTTTTTTTTTAATTGATGACCATTCACTTTGTGTGTGCATGTGTACACACCCGTTTCAGTTCTTAAAACTTAACATAGTCCTGGAAAAGTCCTAGATTTTTTTTTTTTTTTTTTTTTTTTTTTTTTTTGACAGATCTGTGGGAACCCTGTCAACAGCTTAAATAAACAGCTACTGCTGTTTTAAAAAATGCATTTCTGCGATATTTTTAACTAAATAATATTTGTTTCAAACAGATTAATTATATCAAATTAGATTAATCGGTTAACGTTCCTCAGTTTCAGGTTATTTTATTTTGGAAAATTTTTTTAATAAAGAATTACATAGAAATGACTGAAGGCTAAAAATGGCGCTAAAGTTTTAGAAATTTTGAGACGCAAAATCCTTCCAATCAATTTAAATTAGTTTTGAAATAGAACAAAGTATTTTGCTTATTGGAAATATTAAATTTAATCTGTTTTGCTTAAATTAAAACTAAAATAAAAGCTTCAAGAAAGATTTTTCAATTTTTTAAAAATTCATTTTAAACCTTAGGTATTGTGAATCTGTGGAGGTACCTGTTTATCTATCTGTCCATCTACCCCCACCACCCCATGAACATGTCCATCTTTCTTCACCCTCCCCCCCAGCCGGCCGTCTCCTCCCTCCCCAATCTTCCTGCTCTCACTGACTGCTGGTCCAACTGTTTTCCCTCTTAGTAAGATTTACATTGGAGTTGAATGTTCAGCAATGATCTGCTTCTCAGGTTTGTGTGCATCCTTTGCATATTGGTTTCTAATCAAACTTCATGGTTTCTTCTCAGATTAATCTTTTTCTCTATTAGTCTCCAATTTTATTTTGCCTCACTGGCTTTTTTTTTTTTTTTTTTTTTTTTTTGCTTTCATTTTTTTATTTTTATTTATTTTATTTATTTATTTTTATTTTTTATTTTTATTTATTTTTTTTAAATTGCTCCTCCTCCTCCTTTCAACAGGTCAAGTAGGTGGCCCTCCTCCCTCAGGAGCATCTCCTCCTGTAGCCCCTGGTGGTGGGATCGCACCAGTTGCAGCCTCTGCCCCTGCCCCTCAGCCACAAGCAGGAGCTACATCATCTAATTCCGCACAACAGCCACCACCACCTTATTATGGTAAGGAAGACTGTTGGGTTACTAATCCCTAATTTGTGTTGTAGTATTGTGTCCTAGGCATCGACATGCACCTGTATTTCTAACTAAACCCCAGCATGGCACTTACCACTATCTTGTTTTCATTTCTTAATAACTTGTTTCTCTTTACTGTCTTTTTTTCTTTTCTACTTTTTCTTTTTTACTTTTTCTTTTTTTCTTATCTTTTGAATTTACTCTCTCATCATTTAGTGACAGAATTCCTCTTTAATAGTTGATCTCGCTTTGGGACTGTTTAATGTTTTTTTTTATTCATTTTATTTACTTATTTTATCACCAATATTTGATATCACTTGACATTAATATTTTTCTGCCACAAAACACAAACATTTTTCTCTCTCACTCTTTCTCTGATCCACTTAAACACGTAGTTAAGCCTTAATATATCCACCTGTGTCACTTTTTTTTCTCTACTTATTCTGTTTCATGAAGGACATTAACAGCAAAAACCTTAGATACCTTAAATGACTTGTGCTAATCAGAAGACTCATTTCAGCACTTGTTTGAAATGGCTTATATTTAGCTCATTCAGCACCAAACAATATTATGTTCTTTCTTTGAACATTTACATCTGTTTTCTACTGATCTTATTGGGTCTCTGAGGAAATTTAGTTGTAAATGAAAAACCTTGTCACTGAAAGTCTTAAAATAAGATTTCTGTTGGATTTGATAATTTTAAATAAATGGTATGTGCAGGCAATAGTTGAATAGTTCAGGAAGAATTTTGTTTTTATTTTGTTGAAAAATTAGCTTTTTACATTACTACTGAACTATCACCATTTAAATCTCATACATAATTATCAAACTCAGAGATTGTTTAATGAACTGAAATTGTGTCTGCTGTCCAGATTCTAGAATATTAAATGTTCTTTATTTTCATCATGATAGACTATCAAATAGATATCAAAGACTCAATTTTGAGCTTGGTAAATCATGACCTTTTCAAATCATATGTATCTTCTACCCACAAAATGAAGTTACATAAAAACGGTCTTGTCTCTGAAATAGCAGGATTATGGTTAAAATGATACTTGTTTAAATAAAGTTTATAGAACTTCATAAGAGTGTTTTTGTTGACTTATTTTTCTTGTTGAATAAACAAACTTGCTTTCAAACTGCTTCAAGTAAATGAAGCTATTACGAAGTTGGGGAGATAACTAATTCTTTGTGACATTATAATTTATTAAAAGTACTTTTTATAATGTATTAAAAAAATAAATACTTCCAACTTAAGGCTTTTTGGTTAGAACTTTTCAACATCCCCTCACTTCAAATTAATTTCAGTATTAGATTTTTTATAACACCATTTTTACTTTTTTGTTTTATGTTTTAATTTAACATTCTTTTCCAATTCTTTTTGGTATAACTTCTTTCTTGAACTGTTTAGACTGTGTTCTCTCATTTGGCTATAATTGTCTACTTTCTTTATCTTCAATCTTAAAATAATAGTTTGTATTCAAATTTAAAATGTATCAGACGCCTTCACTTCCCTTCTCACCTTCTCCACCCAGTATTTACACAAAGCAAATATTAACCTACTTTTTATCTCATTAGATTTTTAATATTTTGTTTTGGCTGAAAAATAACCCTTTCAAATTTGAAAATATCTATTTTATTACGGTAAATGTTATATTTAGTGAATACACATTTGAGTGGACTTTTTTGCAAATAGCATATCTAGGCCAGTATACCTTAATTTCACAGTGCTGTCTATTCAAACACGTGTTCCTGCTAAGCATAATGTTTATAGTAATAAAATATCCTTTAACTGCTTATATATATTCATGAATAAATCTTCACATTAACTATTATTACTAATAGTAAACATTGGTTTCATCATTGAAGTGAAACACATCATTATCACTGCGTTTATCACTAAATTAATGGGATTTTTCTTTTTTTCTCTTTTTCAATTGAAGGTAGAGTACTCTCATCTTGCGATTTGATTCAATTTGAGTAAACAAAAAATAATTTTTGGTGGAGAGAAAAAAGTATTAACATTTAATACAATAAATCATAAATTAAAAATCAATGTAGTATGAAGGAATAGAAAGTTACTTTGTGATTACCATTTGCATAATTATGTTCACTGAACAAATAGATTTCAGTATTGATCAATAACAGGTTTAATAAAATGTGTAATCAAATAAGAGCATGTTCACTGTTCAGCAATAATAGAATTTCTGGAACAAGATAGAAAATTCAGACAAGTTTAACCTTCATGCCCACACACAAAAAAAGGATTTTTTTTTTCTTCTTCCCTTGACACTGCTATTATTTTAACTATCTTCACTCCTCAGCAATGTATGTTTAAAAAAAAAAATGATTAGAATTTTAATAAAACCCAAACATATAAAATGAATTTATATATTTTCTCTGTTCCTGAGAATTTACAACAAAAATATTATAAACTAAATATTTATTAGATTGTTTATTTACAAGAATAATTTTATATTTACAACATTCAAAAAAGGCAAACCAACAAATACAATGTTTATCATTTACCAATTTATAAATAAATATCAAAATAATTTTTTTTATTTATAAAAATTTACTAAATTATAAAAATATGTGAACCAACTATAATGAAATGCTTATTTACAATTTTATAAAGTTTGAATTGATTGGCAACTAGCTGTTTTGCCAAACATTCCAAAATTTGTCAGCTTTGTCAATTACTTTAGTCAAGTCCACTCTTCATTTAAGATTTCTAAATCAGTGAGCATTTGGCTGACAATAAATAATTTATTGGCAGATTTTCTAGACATTTTGAGAAAAATTAGCAAAAAGAGTAGGAAGTGGGATAATCTATAATTGTTGGAGTTTCAAATCTTGAATTTCTATTAATGAGGCATCCTTGATCACAATTATAAAAAATAAATTGGAAAATTAAAACAAAAAGTAATCAGAAGTATAAAATAATTTAAGAAAATGTATGTCTGGAAAAATATTTAAATTTTCTTGTTCTGTAGTTCTTAGATATTTTCATAAAATTATGAATAAAAGAAAATTTGTTTTCATAATTATTAATTTAAAAAAAAAAAAGAAAAGTTAATAATATTGGATTGTAGTTGGCTCACATATTTTGAAAAATTTTTTATAAACTTTTGAATAAAGATTTTTTTTTTTTAAATTTATTTCTTTATAAAATGATAATATATATTGTATTGATTCACATTTTTTATAATCTTGTAAATAAACATTTCCAAGGGTGTTTTTGTAGAATTTTGTAAGTGTCAAACTGTCCTTTTGAAAACTTTTTTTTTTTTTTTTTTTTTTTCCAGGCCTGAAAGTTAAACATTGCCAAAAATTTTTTAGCCACACAGAAAATAATTTTTTTTTTTTTTTATGAATATAAATATTTTCAATCTTTTAAATTCATAGATGAGCTGCTCTCGAACAAAACTTTTCCTCTTTCCTTAACATTTGTTAAATTACAAACTAATTTTTATTATTTTTCTTTTTCTTCTCAGGTGGTCAGCAACCTCCAAACTGGAATGCTCCATATCCAGTTTATAATATGATGCCAATGCCTTCCGGGTACAACCCATGCAACCCTTACATGAGCTACTGCCCACCATCATTCCAAGGGTACCCACCGCAACCCCAATATCCATATCCTGGACAGACCACCCAGTATCCTCCGCAACAAACATCTTTCCCTCCTCCTAATTATCCTGCTGGTTTTTCACAACAGCCTCAACAGTGGCCCTGAACAATCCAATTTCTGTCTTTCTTTCTTTTTTCTCTCCTCTTATGCTTATCTCTTTCTTTTCTCATTTGTTACTTTTCTCTTTTCTTAGTTCTTTTGGCACCCTTACTAAGTTGGATTCTATAGTTTTGTTATAAATCTTAAAAATTTACACAAATTAACTTTTGTGTATATGTAATATTGGGCCATTACTTGTTTAAGTCTCCCCACCCTTTTTTTTTTTGTTTATGAAAACATATATGCATTTATATAATCTTAATAATGCATCTTTAGTCTTATCTAACCTCTGTTGAAAGCTATTATTACATAAGAAGCTATATTCAATGTTTAAATAATTTACAATCAGAAGCAAGCAATAATTTTTATTTTAAGTTCAGTTTTTGTTCTCAAGTGGCTGCATTAGAAGTGTAGTGGTTTGGTTTTTTTTTTTTTTTTTTTTTTTTAAATATTTGAGGGAAAAAAAATCTTCGATATATATTTTATTTTATTTATTTTATTTTTTTTTTTAATCATTTTTTTTTTCTTCTATCTCCCCAAGTACTGTCTAAATTACCACTATTAACTCTCCAGGTAGGTGGGCATGGCTGCTCTGCAAAAAGCAAATCCATTAGCTCCGTGTGTAAATTTAAAAAAATAATTCTTGGATATGAGTTAAAAGGCCTTGGGCAGTTTTTTGTTTTGTTTTGTTTTTTTTTCTCTGCACCCTACCCCCAACCCTGCAGTCAGTGTATTTATGGAGTTAAATGTCATAATAAATTTTATAAGTAGCATAATTTTCAGAATTGAAATTTGTCTTGAACAGTACCAAGAATTTTCACTTGCAGGTTTGGCTTGATTTTTCAGAGAGGGCGGCTAAAAAAAGGGGGGTGGGGTTTCAATTCCTAGTGCTTGAGTTGAAGCTTTGTTGTAAAATAAGAAAACAAATTTTGTCCATATAGGTGGCCATTGTCGGCTTGATTCCTTGATTTCCAAAGATTTCTGCTTAAAGATTGCCAGATTTTTCTCTGTATTTTTTTCTGTAATTTGCAGAGAAATCTTTCTTTTGATTTTTTTTACCTATTAAAGTTAAAATGAAAAAAAAAATTCCTCCTCCACTTGATCAAAATTGTAACTCTTTTGGAATCTTTGTTCCTCCCATTTAAAGCTTCTTCTTAATTAGATATGTGCATAATCTTTGGGCAGTGGAGAAATCTGAGGATTAACATTTGGGGTGAGAAGTGGCCAAAGCATTCCAAACTTTCTCTCTCCTGACTACATTACTCTCTCCCATCCCACACTTCCTTGCTTATGATGACGAAAATGACAAGCACTTAAGTATATTTTTCCATATTTTTTTTTCTTTCTTGCTTTCTTCACTAGTTGTTTATTTTCATCTTCTCTTGTTAATAGATAGAATATAAAAGGTGCCACAATTGTAATTTCTAGATACTGCTGACCATGATCTCTGGAGATTACTAAACATTCCATTTGTCATTCTCTGGTTCTTTGTTTTCTTATTCTAGTGAGAAATCCCAATAATGGTAATTCCTGATTTTTGGCCAAGAATTGTTAGTTTGTGTTATTTCCATGTGGGGTTTTGTATGCTCAAGTTGTCCCTGTTGTTCAATTTCTAAGAAATGTTTCTACAAACTTTCTTCTTTCCCCTCCCACACCTTCTGTAATGTACAAAGATGTTTTGCTGTGTTTTTCAAGCTTTGACAGCAGCTCAAATGTTGCCAAAAGAACTCATCACTTTTCTTTCTTCATCCTACTTTCCCAAGTTTTATTTTTTATAAAGAATTTTTATTTTTTTTATTTATATAGACTTTTTTTTTTTTTACTTTATTGAATGCTAAGTCTGTGGTAGAAGAATACTTATTCTGCACTTTGCATAGCTACCAAAAATGAGTAATTTATTTTTATTTTTTTGTTATAAAGGAAAGACTGAGCAATTGCTTATGGATATTATGTTTAAAGTTGATTGTTAAAAAACCCAAAAATAATGGAAAGTTGCATTTTTTTCTTTTTTTTCTTTTTTTTCTTTTTTTTTAACGTTCGTATACATACACATGAACACTGTATGTGAGACTGTTCTAAAAAAAAAAAAAAAAAAAAAAATAATTAATTTGCAAAGAAACCTAATGGGTGGGTGAGGTTCTGTTAATGTTTCTACAAAATTAAAGGATAAAAAAAAAAAATATCTATAGTTATCTTCCAAAGACTTCAACTTAAAAAATCCAAAAGAACATTTCTGCATTTTTAAAAAAAAAATTCTGGCTTGGATTTAGTTAATTCTGTATCAACATCTAAGTGAATTGTACATCTATTTATTTATTTGAGCTAAACTGGAAAGTTTCCTCTTACCCTGTCCAGTTGACATTTTGGCTGCTTTAAATTTTTGTTTCTAAATTGACTTGAGGTTAAAATTGTAACAATAATAAATTGATATATCCAAACTTGCTAAACCTTTCTTAAATGTTAGTTGCATGATTTATCTAATCTATAAAAACCTTGGCCGACCATTTTTTTTTTTTTTTTTTTTTTAAATCTATTGTCAATGCTATTTTAAATTCTAAATATTTAGATTTCTTTCTTTTTTTTCTTTTTTTTTTTAATTTGAGTTCTCACTTGCCTAAGGATTTTTAAACTTTCTTTCCCACTCCCTCGTTCATCCATTTAGAGAATATTGTGTACCCTAAACATGGGCATCAGGCATGTTTTCTTTTTGTTTTCTTATTACTTCTTCTGTCCAACTATATTTCCCTATCCCTGTCAAATTTGGAGGTTAGCAGCAAAAACATTAGCATTAAGTGTTTTTTTTTTTTTTTGTTTGTTTATTTTTTTTTTATTTTTTTTTTGTTTTTGTTTTTCCCTTACACCCTGTCCCCCACTATCCTAAGCCCAGGTGGCTTAGAACTTTCCCTACACCACTTAGTAAATATTGTATCTTTTTTCTTACACACTAATTGGTGTATTGTGATCTAATAAGTAATGTGAAAAGTTACTTAATTTTTTTTCATTTTATTTATTAAAACCTTTTTATTAATATAATTGATTTCTAGTGAGAAAATAATTGTTCTGCTACCTCCTTTCACCCCCTAATTCCACAGTCCACAATTTCCCCTGTTGCCCTCTCTCTTTTCTGGGTGGGGTGGGTCTCCTAATGCCACTCCTTCCAGGCAGCAGCTACAAGTGGAGGTTACTGGTGGATGGCAATGCTCATCTGGTTCTGAATTACCCATATTGTGACATTACTCCAGTTTGAGCCAATGAGCAGGCATCTAGACTTTGGGTAAGTCTTTCATACCCCCATGCCTAAAGTGGTTGGTCTACTGTGTATTTGCCAAACTGGCAATACTCGATATATAAATGGAGGTGACAACAGTCACATATCACGAATGCTGATAGGTCAAGCACAGTGCTTAGACCTTTTGAGATGACATTTGTTTTTGTTGTTGTTTTTTTTTAACCCCCCTGAATAAAACTTGCAACATTTGCTTTTTCTCTTATCTTCCAAACGCCCTAGCAAATTCCAAGGCATTTTTTTTTTGTCAACCTCCACTGTGTCATGTTAGTATCTCCGTCATTTTGATGGAGCACTGTACAAAAGGAAAAGACTTTCAACCAAAACATATTTATCAGTTTGTAAATTACTCTATGTCAGGACAAGACCGTTGACAATTTTGTCTGCAGTCTGTGCTCTGTTCTATAATAAAGAAAAACAAAATCTACTAAATGACTATTTCTACTTTTTGTTTTCATTTCCCTCCTCACCTTATCTAAAACTGTGTAATTATTTAAAGCAATATAAATTGCTTTAAAGTATTTTTTTTATATTGTAATGTTTATTTGCCAATAATCAGCAAATGGCTAAACTGTATTATGTAAAATTATTTTGTGTGTGAATATTAAGCAAATAATGTATTTTGTCATAATTAACTGAAATTTTATTTTATCCTGGCATCTGTTGTGATGTAGAAACAATAATTGCATTTCTTCATCATGCCAGCATTGTAAAAAAAAAAAAAAAAAAAAAAATTGAACCTGCCATCAATTTCAGGTTTATGGGGATGTGATACAAAAAAATCTTTGTTCTTTTTTTATTATCTTCATTTTTTCATCAGATATAAAGCCTTTTAAATGCAATACATTTAACTGTATAAACACCACGATGGGTGAACTTAAAATTGAGAATAATACTATTTAAAAAAAAAAATAAAATAAAATAATTAAATTTACCCCCCCAATATTTCCCACCAAACAAGTAAAAAGCAGTTAAAATCAAAACATTTTCAATTCAGATGGGTTATCCACTGTAAAAGGGTTAAATTTCTTATTTAAGTATAATAAACTTTTCAAAGAAACTTTGATTTATTAGGCAAAATCTTTTCTGGCAGTGTCTTAGGAAAAAACAATAGAACAAATCCTCTTTAGGTCCTCATTTGATGCCATCATAAAATTATCCAGGCCTTTTTATTTTATTCAACTGAAGAACACAAAAAATAAGTTTTTTATTTTATAATCTTTGAAATATCATCATCCAAACTTGTTAATCAAAGCCAATTTTTAACTGAGAGAAAAGTTAAATCTTTATGGATGATGCTTCAAAACAAATCTTTTGTGACCTCCTCTTCAACAAAGAGAATGTTAAATGCTTGTAAATCTATTTATTAATAAATATAATTATTTATTTACACTATTTACATTTGGGTTTATGGGGATGCAATACAAAAATCTAGATTATAGTCCTATAGTGGATTAAAGAGTTGGTTCGTGAATTTTAGTAACCTTGTAATTATGAGTTCAGTTCCTGGGCCAGGCTGTATGGATAGGGACTTGGTGGAAATGGGCAGGCAATGACTGAGTAGTACTAGAAGTTATCCCTAGACATGGGCAGTGGAATGAGAACAGTTTACCCCCCATAGATTAAACAAGGAGTTCAGTTCAGAATTCTCTGTTGGTTACCCAGATCGATATACACCTGATGGACACTGAAGGAAGGAATGACTGAAAAGTTATGATAGCGACAACAAAGATGAGGACAATAGTCTGAATGTAAATAGTGTAAATAATAACTCCTCATTCCAGAAATTCAGACAAAGTAATTTATTTATTTTATAATTTAAGGCACTACAACAAATAACATTTTTCTAATGGATACATTTTGAAATAACAGTCTTGGCTGTTATTTTGGACATTAAACCTTCAAAATTGACAGTGTTTTTAAGTGTATAACTTTTATTGGGCAAACTTGGAACTGCATACCCACAAAAAAACTGTCAAAAGGACACTTTTTTTCCATTGACGCTGCTATTATATAACTACTTTCATTCCTCAGCAATGTTTGTTTTAAAAAGCAATAATTAGAATTGTAATAAAATCTGAACATATGAAAGTGAATTTATACATTTTCTTTGTTCTTCTGTATTAACAACAAAAATAGTAAACACAATTTATTTATTAAATTGTTTATTTACACAACTGTTTATTAGAAGAGTTACCAAACATCAGCTAATTGCCAATTGATTTGAACTTTATAAAATGGTAAATAAGGATTTTTAGAATTTTAAACATTGCTTTTTAAGACAAACATTGCCAAGGAGTGAAGGTAGTTAAAATGATTGTGCCAATGGTTTTGTTTTGTTTTTTTTTTTGTGGGCACCAATGTCAGCGTTTGCTTTTTGTTGTTCAGTTAATAAATCTTGAAAAAATGAAGTAGAAATTGACAATAAGTGATTGAAAAGTGCAGAATTAAGGAAGAAATATATTTTCCAAATATACTTTTCGTAATATAAAATCACATTACGATAAACACTAAGAGGGTTTATACAGGGTTAATTTTGAGTTACTTGGGGGTTCTGCTTTAGTTGCAGTGGTGAAAAGTTAGATTTGGGGATAGGTTACCAAGTATATTAGAATGAAGAAAGGTAGGTTTGGTTGTCTGTGAAACAAATATATACAAACTGAGGTTCCAAGCTTAATTCTTATTTACATAAAGAAATTAATTTGATAGGAGTAAAAAATAAAAGTTCTAAAGCAAAGGAGAAAACTTACTAATATGTAACTTTGCTGGGTAATTAGTATTTTATATTAGTTCTTTTTGGGAGTCATACATTTGTTTTGAATGGAACAGTTACGCTATGGTCGGAGACATTAGGAATATTATTTTATATAACTTTTTTTTCTTTTTTTCTTATAATTCATTGTGATTTGGTTTGTTTAATCTGCATATATTACCCTTTATGGATAATATAAAAGACACTTTGGACTTTTTAAATGTGAAAACAAAAATATTATTTGAATAAAAAGAGAATTATACATTTAAGTTTATTCTGTCAGTCATATTTGCATAACTTCTCGACCACTTGACAATCTCTCTTCAATGCACAACATGCTGATTAAGTGTGGAAACATGTTAAGAAATATTACTCTTAGAATCTTTTTTTCTTGCCAGTAGAAAGCTTGAGTAGCAGTAAATGCAGTGGATATTAGAGAATTTATATAGAATTATAATTGAGTTAACCTAAAACAGAATACAATTATGGTAAGGAAAAACCCCATGCTGATTAAAACAATCATTTTTCTAGATTTTTAATATTTGTAACATTTAATGCAATTATTCAACTTTTTATTTAATTATCAGATGTTCATATGACATGATGGATTAATGAAACAAATATTTTATTTTTCATTTACTTTGAGTGGCAGTGAATTTCAGTAAGTGGAATTTTGATGGTTCAACCCCTGAATCTTAGTTTCGTACACTCATTGGTATGTTGTACAGTGAATAATAATAGGAAAAAAAGGATTGTCAGTGGTCAAGAATAAAGGAAAGCCTTAGTGATAAAAAAGGGATGATTATTTGCCTGATGCTGGTTGCTACTTCTTTTTTTATATTTTATGCTGTCACACAAAAGCAGATACATCAAATTAAGGTCACATGCTTAGAACGTGTGACCTATGAGATATGCAGGTAAGTAATATATTCAGTATACTAACAGCCTGCTCTTTGAATAGAAGGTAAAATTAACTTGAAAATATTAAATTAACTTTGTTATTGAATGGCTTTTACATTTTTGTACCCCACTCGGTTTGAATAAAAGTTGGTACTGCCGTTCACTGAAAAAAAAACATACCATGTGGAAAAATGGCCCAAACTTGGTAAGCTTTTATCTTCAAAATCTTTTATCAAGAGGACAGACCAAAGTGTTTTTTTAATCGTTTCTAGCAGGTTTGAAATTTTGGGTAATAAAAACTTATTTTTCTTTCATCTACAGGGGAGGTAGGGGGCAAAGATTAATATAGGAAATTTTGGTATATCTTTTTTTTTAATACAGTAAAAAGGGCAGTGATTAGGGAAATTTGTGTAAAATGGTCAGATTTTAATGAAACTTTCAGGATTTATTCACAGATGAATGTCATTATTTTAGGTTTTTTTATATCTGCTACCATCAATTTTATGTAATTTCAAGAATTAAATTTTAACCCTCTTAATATTAGTTAAATTACCCACAGAGTTCTACTTTTAGCTCATGAATTTTTTTTTTTTTTTTTTTTTTTTTTTTTTTTTTGTAAAAAAAAATTACTGAAAATCTGCTCTGAATTGTAAAAATAAAAAGTGCAATAAAACAAAGATATTAATTAATTATTTAATTGTTTTTATAAATACAAAATGATGTTTATAAAATTTTGATGAATTTTTACAAGAATTGTTTGCATTTTTTTAAAATTAGAAATTAATTCTATATTAATTTCAGCCTTTTAGTTGATATTAAATACAAACTACATTTAATATTTTTAAAAGAACTTTGAATCTTTTTTTTTTTTTTTTTTTTTTTTTTTTAATGTGCATAAACATGCCAATTTTTGTAGATATCAGTGTTTATATCAGAAAATTACCTATAGTAAATTTAAAGCTAAAGTATCTCCAATTCAATAAAACATTAGATTATGGAGAATATTTTCCTTTTTAGATAACTGAGTTCTTCAAAAAAATGACATTAAACATTGTGGTAAAAGTGGTACTGAAATATATTATTATTCCCCTCTCTCTCTCTCTCACACACACACACACACACACACACACACACACACACATATATATATATATATATATATATATATATATATATATATATATATATATATATTTTTTTTTTTTTTTAAATCATTTTAAACCTCCAGATTCATAATACCTATGTAAAAGACAATTGTATATTTTCATACTGATGGAAACAACAAATCATTAATCTGTTATCTTGGTTTCTGTTTAAACAGACATCTTAATTTATTTTTCTTCTTTCTTTCTTTCTTTCAATTGATTTTTTTTTTTTTTTTTCCACAAATGATATTAAGCAATATGGTCACTTCCTGTTCCTATGCAATCACCAAAGTTAAACAACACCGAGCCCAGTCAGTACCTAGATGGGTGACCATTTGGGAATACCAGGTGCTGTAAGCTTGGATGTATGGGTGGTGTAATGGATAATGGCTAGGATTTGTTAATCAGAGAGCTGTATCCCAAATCCCATTGGGTTTGTTATATTCACTTACATGCAAATACCATTGTAATAAGTATGAATCCACCTCTTTTCCCGTGAAAATTTCACAAAAATATGTTGGAAAATGTTTTCTGTTTTTAAGTGGAATTAAGAAAATATGAATTTTAAACTAAATTGTCACAATATAGAGAAAGCAGGTGTTATTTTAAATTGGCTCCCAGAGGATGATGATTTTTTTTTTTTTTAAACCCCCCAAAAAAAAAAAAAAAACGTTATCACTGTTAAGCAAAATGGCATCTCTTGTTCTAGAAATAAGTGTTTACATCTGAAGATATGATTGAACTGGATTCTTTAAGAAGTACTTGTTGCAGACTTCCATGACAAACATTCTTCGATGTTTCTCTGTTTAGGTCATTTGTATTTCTTGATTTTGATATAAGTAAAATGCTATCAGCAAATCTTCAATGGGCTGTGCTCCTTCAGGATGTAAGCAGTCATGGCTCTCCACAATTTCCTGTCTTTTGTAACTCTTAGTAAATTTTGTCTTTTTGCCATCTTTGATCTAGAAATGCAATGTTACTTCTTATCTTCTGTTTAATGTTTTTCTCATTCTTTTACAGTAGCAACCCCTTGCATCTTAGTGGCTTTATTGCCTTATTTGGGGGTGAAATGATTTAAAAGAAAAGATTTTCTTGGGTTGATGTTGTTTTCTGTATACATTAATCCCTCAACTATTGTGGGTGATAGGTGAAAATCCACAAAGTAAAAAAAGGATTGGCTAAAGTGATTCATCAGGGTATTGTAATGTATATTTTTTAATATTTTTATACATTAAAGCTTTTATAAAGCCTCCATACACTCTTATAAACCCTTTCTACACTCAAACTAAAATCAAACTTACTTTTAAAAACATCATTATTTATTTTTAAAAAATATATTTATTTAAAAACATAGCATTACAGCTCTTCTAAAGGCACCACTTCAGCAGGCACTTCCTCAGGTGGTGCAGTATGTTCCTCTTAATCATCCTCTGTAACTTCAATTGCAGTGAGAGCAGTAGCTGTTTCTTCTGGTGTTTTTTTTTTTTTGTTTTTTGGGGTTTTTTTTTTTGTTTTTTGTTGTTTTTTGTTTGTTGTTTTTTTTTTTTTGTTTTTTTTACAGGTGAGGAACATGGTGATGGGCAGTTGCTGGCAAAGTTTTTTTTTGTTTTTTTTTTTTACAGGTGAGGAACATGGTGATGGGCAGTTGCTGGCAAAAGTTTTTTTTTTTTTTTTTTTACAGGTGAGGAACATGGTGATGGGCAGTTGCTGGCAATGTTTTTTTTTTTTTTTTTTTTTACAGGTGAGGAACATGGTGATGGGCAGTTGCTGGCAATGTTTTTTTTTGTTTTTTGTTTTTTTCTGTGAAAGGAGAGTTTTATAAACTTCCATGGCTCTGTTGATTGCAATTCTAAACTGCAATGCATGGATCATCTGTAGGTCCCATTCTTCTGCTATTCTTTGCATTTCTTTTCCATTTCTTACTAAGGTTGAGAGGCAATCCAGTGATAGGCCAACTTCTTCTTTCCCTGGATCCTCTTGTTCTTCTACTTTTTCACTTGCTGACTTTGTCATCTTCATAAGATCTTCTGTAAACAGATTTGAGTGAGCTTTGATCAGGATAATTAACATCCTCAGAAGTTATATCTGTAAAGCCATCTCCTCCTAGCAATTTTGCCAGCTTCATTGCCTTAACTACTGCGGAGTGGTGGATTTTGTCAGAAGAGAATTCTTTATAGTCATGGACCACTTCTGGACACAATTTCTTCCAGCTGGCATTCAAAGTCTCAGTCTTCATTTCCATTATGGCCTTCTGAATATTTTAGACATGTTGATCAAGCTCAGTGAATCCTACAAAGCTTTTAGGCTTCACATCAGCTTGGATAAGACAATTGTGATGTATCAATCAATGCCAATTATTATGTATCATGATCCAGATATTTTCCTAGACAATATTAAGCTGAAAGTCATGGGCAGGTTTCTTGGAAGCAATTTGAATCACTTTGGATGGTGAGAGCACAATCCACATCCCAAAAGCAACTTGAGCTTTTAAGAATCTGGAAGGTTGTGTTTGGTCTGGTCTGAGAAATATTAAAGATAGTAATAGCATGTTTTCTTGCTTTCTTTCGTTGTCCTTCTCTGATTTGTTCATTTGTTCTTTCTTTCATTTGTTCTTTCTTTCATTCATTCAACTACTCTTGTGAAACCTGGATAACATACCAAAAAATATATCAAGGCCTTAGGAAGATTCCATCAACACTTGTATACCATCCTCAAAATTCATCCAATGTGAAAGACATGGAATATAGAAGTTTTGGGAACATTTTTTTTTCATAATTGGGTGGGTGGACTTACAAATATTGGGTTGGTGCATTATTATCAGGCGTTTTGTAATACTAAATATAATAATAATATATGATAATTATGTACCAACCCAATATAATTTTGTCTAAATGACAGGCAGAAGTGAATAATGATTCTATACTGGGTAAAGAATTTTTTTTTTTTTTTTTTTTTTTAAACAAATTACCTTAAATTAATTGACATTAAAAAATATTAATTTTGATCAGATTGTCATTATCAGTCCAAACAACTCTTGGATATGTGGATAAGTTGCTTGTTGGGGGGTGAGAAACAAAGATCTTTCTTGTTGAATTTGGCGAATCAAAGAAATAAAAAAAAAAAAAAAAAAAGAAAAATTGTGGCAGGAATTTTTTTCTCTTGGAATCTTTCATAAATTTTTTATAAAAGGAATGTTCATAATTTTTAACAGAGTGAGTAAAGCTATGAATTTTTTTGTGGTTGTCTCTGTTTAAAAAAATAAGTAAGTAAAAATAATACTGGATTTTGTGGAGGCCAGTATTCGGGGAGAAAATTGCAACAATTTGCTAAGGCTATCCAAATTGATGATCTCCCAAAAATGTCCTATCTATTTGTATGTACTGTGAATTGGTGATGTGACTACAAGGTTTACTAAGCAGATTTCTGTGTATGTGAAAAACTGTTTGTCTGCCAATCCAGATATCATCTTTATCGACTAATACACAAAGGATGTTCTACCTCCCTGTCATATCAGTTAAGTAATTTACCAATTTGAATGTCAGTGTGACATTATAGAGGTAGAATGGGTCAAAGGGTAAAAGCAAGAATAAATCAGCCCCCACCAACTAATATACAAATTGGGGACAATTTGCATATTAGTTATTATTATTAGATATTTGCATAGGTGTGTGAATTAAGATATTATATTTTTATTAGATTATTATTATAATATTATTATTATTATATTTTTAATTAGATATTATATTTATATTATCATTTGCATAGGTGTGCGAATTAGATATTATTATTAGATATTTGTATAGGTGTGTGAATACAACTGGTTTGGCAATAGCTAAATATTTGTTAAAAAGAAAAAAAAAAAGCAATGTGCTTGATCTTAAAACTGAGACATGTTCTCAGTACTTAGCAAGGTGAATTCTGAATTTCATTTGAAGGTGTTGAATCAATTTACATTAGGTCTTATCAGCCATATCTCTGTAAGTAGGAATAGTTGATAAGCTTAAAGATAATTAGCTTTTAATTTATTTACACTACTTATATTCAGATTATTGTCCACGTCTTTGTTGTTAACACAGCATTTCAACCATTGTGACCTCCAACCTTCATCAAGTGTTCATTGATCTGGGTAACCTACAGGGAATTCTGAACTGAACCCTTTATTTAATTTACATGAGATAGACTGTTCTCATTCCATTCATTACTTTTAGTACTACACAGTTATTACTTGCCTGTTTTAACTGAGACTAAGTACACATTAACTGACCCACGGAATGAATGTGAAAACACTGAGTTATAACGTTCTTGGTCATTTTACTGGTTAATAACAGTATTTGGAAAGAAAGTATGTAGAATATGGTCATTACACCACACCACAGAGGTTTTGTCAGTGACAATGGCAGAGAAAATTTAGCAGGGAATCTGCATCAAATTTTGCCAAAAGCTTTGTGATACCTGCACAAAGGCCTGCACGAGTTGGACACAAGTTTCCATGATAGCTGACAAACTGTTGACAATGACATGCATTCTAGAAGATCTGCAACCAGCAGAACTGATGAAAACATCACAGATGTTCATGCAGCTGTCTGAAAAGACAAATAACTGTGTATGAGTTGTCAGTGGATGTGAAAATGCAATACAGTTCAGTCCAGGCTATTCTCACTGGAGATTTGAATATCAGACATGGAAAAAAAACTGCTTTCCTGTGAATAAACTTAAAAAAAGAAATTCTTTTATTTATATTATAACTGTTTATTTTCTTCAGAATAACTATCGGCTTGGCAAAGTCTGCCTTCAAATATAATGGAGTAAATGTTTATGTGTATATTTAAAAAAAATTCATCAATTTCTTTATAATCATTTCACCTAAAGAAAAGTAGTAAAGTCACTAAAATGCAAAGGGTCACAAAGTGAAAAAAAATGAGAAAAATATGCTAAAGAGAGAGGACAATAAAAGAACAAGAAATAAGAAGATAATGATTGACATTATATTTAAATTTTCTGGGAAGCAAGAATCCGAAAGAATTTCACATGTGAGAAGTGTGACAGAAATAACTATTAACATAGAACTTAAGGTTACATCTAGCAATATTTACAGTAACGTGATGAGACCTGGCAACCAATTTAGTACTGTGCTTAAATTAATAAAAATATGTATATTATATATATGTGTGTGTGTATTATATATAATAGATGTATTATATATAATATACGTATTTTATACTAGCAGCGTTGCCCGTGCTTGATTCAAAAATTGTACAACTCATACAGCAATCGCTATCACTTGACTTAAAATATTTTTTTCCTTCCTTGCCTTTAAAGGAGTGCCCTTTGCTGTGCTGATGTTGCTACATGCCTTAC